GGCGTATGACAGGACGTTTGTGAATGATGTGCGGTGCTATGAGAGTGTTGCTGCTATTGATTGGAGCAAATATGCTTACTGAGTTGAGGTTCAGGAGAGATTGGGGTGAAGAACATTGGGAAAGAAGGAACATTGGGTTGTAGACGTTGGGGCCTTAGGGTGGAAGTAATGTCCTGTAATAATTGATTTGATTGGATTTTGTTGAGCTTTTGCTTTTTGAAGTTGCTTTGTTGTTGTTTATGTTATTTTGCTGGTCTTGTAAGGCTGAGGTTTGGGCTTGTCACTGTAGCTTTGCTGTGCTTGGATGTTTGTTGTTGTGTTTGGCTGTTTGCTGTTGTGCTTTATTGCAACGCAGCCACTGGAGAATCAAGCTGACGGCGGCGGCATGTGGTGGTGATGGCATCAAGGGGGAAACGACAATGTAAATTGGGACAAGGTACAGGGCTGAGACGCCACTAATCATGTGGGCCCGTTGCAATATTGGAAGGGGATTCAAGGTCACAGAAATTCCCAAACTCTGGTTGAATAAGGCACTTGAAAAGGTCGCAGCAATATTCGACACAAACACACTAATGGACCACAAAGACGGGAAGGGATAAGAGTGGAAGTATTCGTCGGAAGGGGAACTTCAGAGGTGCACCCGGTGTGGAAACGAACAAGCAAAGGGGTGGAGTGGGACAAAAAGAATCGAGTTGACACGAGACGGGACTCGAACTCACGACGTCTACCCGGTCGGCCGTGGTCCTGTCGCGATCTTGCTCTACGGATGATGATGAAGGGGATGAGGTTCCAACGATGTCAGGTCAAACACCAGCAGCAACAGATGACGAAACACCAAGAATTGGTTGGGAATGGCAAAAAGAGGACCAACGGAAGAGCTGTACAGAATTCGAAACCTGTGCCTTCAGAATCTTTGGGTGCTGACATAGAGCCCACTTTGAGCCTTCACCGACCACCAACCTACCAGCAAGGGATTAGACAGGGAGAAAGAAAAGACCCGTCAGAAACTGCCGTGGCCTGACCGCCTACATCCACCAGGGAATCTCTTCCTCTGTCACAACGGTCACCTTAGATACTGGACTGCTCCGGAAAACAATACGCTAAACCGGTCGGCGAATGAGCTTCTGCTGAGCATTGAGAAATGGATCCTCGGCATGGTCACGATCATGGAAGGAACGCTAGCAAGATGTTGGACTGTGCCCGATGGACTCCTGGATGGCCTGTTGGCTGTAGAGGATGCAAGCCTGGAATCATGGGGGACAACAATGCCCAAACAGAGGAGATACTGTTATAGAATAATATCCCGGTTAAGGTTTATTTTCCGATTCATGTAGGAGGCGGTAAAGTTAAATGGGATACAAGAAAGAGATACGAGGGAGTTCGGACAATTCCGGTTGATATTTTGCACGCTTTATAGGAGAAGTCTGGAGGGTTTGGGAGGTATAAGACGTCGTTGTAGCAGATGCCAGGTATCCTGCGGCTTGCAACCCATCTCTGAAACCCCCGGCCAGCCTTCAAAACATCATGGCGTATCAACTGTCAGCCTACGCCAGGCATCTTCTGAAAGGACAGCGTGCAGTTGCAGGCATTGTTAGAGCTCGTCTACCTTACCGTCAGGAACATCTGTTTATGACTAGCCTTGGCAACCCCTGAGGCTTGACTATGGGCGCAGTGAACCGCTTCTCGAGAGTCAAGGAGAAACATAAATACTGGAACCCGTCTCTTTTACCTATGGGCAACACGGTGGTATCTGTAACCGCAAAAGTGACCATCGGAAACTGCAAGGTGAACACCGCGCGACCCCTGGCCCCTGCAGCAAGGCTCCCCAAACATATTTTGAACAGCTCCAAGTACCCTGAAAAGTACCTGTAATTGTTATGTTGGGACCGCCAAGAATGACCATTATCCAATATGAGGTCTAAAGAGCAGGAGATACCAATGTTGTGGCACTCTCTTCAGGTGTAGTTCCCAACAAAACACTCACAGCTGGGCCCTTTTCTCGTATCGTCAACCAAAACAACGAGCTCATTCGCAGCTTGGGCCTGGCTCCAAAACTATGGGTTTATTCGGAGTTCGCATCGCCAATCTAAATTGGCTCAAGTGCGACCTCCAAATAGGTAACAAAACAAAATATCACCCTCCTTCCTCTATCCCAATCCCCTGTGCCCATCTTCACTTTCGCCAGCAGCGCCATGACAAACTCTATCTTTGTACGACATTGTTTTCACAACCCTTAGCATGAAACAAGCACCCTAAGTCTGGACCCAGCCGTCTAGCCTGCCAGGCAACAAAATAATCATGCCGGCCCAGCACCGTCACTAAATCGTTAATACCTTACCAGAACTTTTCCCCTCTCACCACTCGATTCCCTAATGGGCCTTCTCTGTCCTATCAAGTATGTTAGGGTGCAGATCGGGACACATTTTGCCAAGGCCGTGGGTCGGGAGTACTTGCAAAATAGCCACAACTCCCTTGACTATGAGCTGAACGACTTAGACGCAGCCGACGAAGGGGATCAGACCTTGGATTTCATGTACGGCCATGACACAAGCACAGCTATCAAGTACTACGCTTTGTTGGAAGCCGCAAGATAACGATCTTCAGAGTTTGCTTAATTGTCGAAGGAGATCCTGATGGAAGCAGATTGTCTTTTCTTGGATCCCGGCATACAAACCGACTGGCATCACCTTCAGCCACTCAAGGAACTATTGGTTTGTGATGCAGGAGCTATTCAAGTGACTGGCGATGTTAGCCACTCCTCCGACTCAACTCTTAGCTCGACACCTGACTCCGACGTGTAGATGGAGGATATCTTCGGATACTCATTTGGCAACTTTTTCTTGAAGAGGTAGCGGGAACTAGCTCTTTCCCATTGCCGGGGGATTTAGCGTCCGCACACGAGCCTGAATTTCGACAAGGGGTGGTCTCAGTGGTATAATCAGTATAGTCGCGGCAGCGGGGCTCTGCATATGCATTACTTGGTTGAGTCTGCTAGCAGCGTTGCTTCGAATCACATTGCTGTCAAAAACCACAATAACAAAAACAAAATTGATAGTCGTCTTGGACCCCTTCACTTGCTCCCCATAGTTCCGCTGCCGCGGAAGGTCCCGGTGCAAATCCGGGCTGGGCCACCCCTTGTCTTTTGCTTCTTTGACTGTTAGTGGGCTTTGTGTTTTTTGACGAAGTTATTGTTGGTATTGTTGGTTGGGGAGGTCGTGAGTTTATGGTGTTGTGGTTTTCTTAAATATGGGAGTGCCAGACTGGAAGCCCCATTATCTTTCCATTTATTCAAAGCTATCCGTTTGCCTGTCCTTTTGCTTATCCTTTTCCTTTTGTTTATAATAATAATAATGAAATTAGAAAATCAAAAACACCAGGAAACCCTGGGCACGCAAGATAAAATTCTTCAGCAGTGGCCCTGCCCACTGCACCAAAACAAAAAACTAAGCTTAATAACGGGAGGCTTGCTGTGACAAGGGCTGCAATATCAGGGCTTGGAACTCATGGTTCAATTCAGGCTAATAATCTTCAATGGCCTCGAAGAGCGTGATACTGAAAGTGAAGAAGGAAATACAGTCTTGATGATCCTGAACGCGTATTTTATCTTCCCTCGCGTGGCCCGTGCCCTTGTTGGCCTCAGGCCATCGCCAAGTCCTCCAATATCCTTCTGGGCCAGTGGGCTTTCTTTGATAACCGCCTTGCCTCTGATTGTCTGCCTCACTCTTGACGAGAGGCTCACGACGTGCAGCTTCCCCTCCTTAAGGTGATATTTGGCGTTGTTGTTGGTCATGGTTGTTGGTGGTTGGTGGTCGGCATTTGCCGTGTGACACTTGCAAAGCCCCGAACGAGGGTGGTGTTTTTTTAATACCCTCAAGAGGGCACTTTCTTTTGTTTACCACCAGGATAGAAGAGTTTCCTCAGAATATAGCCTGCTGGTTTTGAGTGTAGCTTGACATTGCCTGGGTACATAGCAGCCGGGTGGGAGACCACAGACAACCCCTTACTCTTCGCCTATCTTCCATTTTGCCAGATCTCTTTTGCTGATTGGCTGGCACCATCGAGTTCAAAAACATGTGAGATATGTCTGACAACCCAGACATCTCTCTGCTGTTTATGGATAATGAAGTGGAGTTATTGATTACCCCTATTTTGGTCGCCATTGTTACAGTCAGTATCACCGTGCATGTCTCTACCAGCCTGAATGCTATTCAAAAAAAGCTCATTTCCAAATAGGTCTCTTGGTGGTGTGGCCATTGAGGTCCTCGCAAAAGCAACAGACAGACAGCAAGAGTGAAATCAACCCATCTGCCCAGTGTGAGTGGGACTTAATTCTTAACGTGAAAACTCTGCTCCAGGCTACACGTGACGCACGGCTGCGCTTGTTGACATCACGAACCTCGTCGGCTATCCTCGGCTACATCGCTCCTTCCCCAACAGCAGCCAACTCTCTACCGTCCGATATATACCAGGCTTTTGTGTCTAATATTCAACAAGGAGCTCCAGTGGCCGCCTGGTATGGAGCGACGCGCAGCAGAGTTGCCAGTTTCTGTAGACCCTTTTCCGTCTTCGCCACTGGTTACGGCACTCATGTATATGGGACCTGTCTGCACTCGAGATCCTGGTTCGAACCCAGGGCTGGGCTCCTTGCTTTTTGTTTTTCGTCACTTTTTTCTTTTCTTCAGCCATGCTGACCACTGCCAGTCTCATTCTTTTCTTGAGTAGAGATCTCGTGTCTCTTCAATGAAAACTTATTGCCTGCAAAGTATTTTCTTTCACGTAAACCAAGACTTGTGGGCGAATAGCAACTTAAATTTATCTAGCAATGAAAACACAGAATGTGGTAAACAAAAAGACGAAAAAAGAAAAGTCTCCAACGACCACCGTCACCACCAAACAACCCACCGACTGCCTACCCAGACTCCCACGCAACCAACACCTCAACTCAAAACAACAAAAACAAAAAAAAAACAAATTCACAAGTTCGGTACACAGCCCAACCCCTACAAATTCCCACAAACGTTCGCCCCTGCCGAATCGATCCCATAAGTCTTCTTCCAATCATTACTAAACCACCACCCCCCCCTGCCCGGCCCACAATCCCTCTGTATACTCCCCCAAGCAGTAACCATCTCATTAGCACTGCAAGGGTTATCACCTCCATAAGAACTAAACATCATCATCAGCCTCCCTCCCAATCCACATATTCCCAACAACCACTTGAAAAGACTCACCAGATATACATCATACTCCCCCCAACATTACAAAACTCCCCCCCACGGGGCGGGATCGTGTTCCCGGTGCTGCACCAGTTGCTCAAGCAAGTGAGACTGTTCTCTAACTCGGACGCGTCGACGGGGTTGTTTGTGCAGCCGATTCTGATTCTGGCTTGCGAGACTAGGGATGCGAAAGTGCTGTTGGAGGTGGAGGCGAAGGGGAGGGGGTATTGCGGGGAGGGGGTGGCGAGGGTGGGGTCGTCGGTCCAGATGTCTGGCTCTGCTGGGGAGGAGGAGGAGTGAGTGAGGCTCCAGGGGAGGGGGTATTCTGGGGTTGGGGCTGTTAGATCGGTGGGGTTGTTGTGGTTGTTGTTGTTGTTGTTGTTATTGGCTGAGGAGGAAGGGCTGTTACTGTCATCAGAGGGGAAGACAGCGGGGGAGGAGAGGGTGAGGGAGGGGAGAAGGAAGAACAGAAGCGGTAGCATTGTGATCAGATTGGGAAGAAGGTTCTTGTTGTGATGGATTGATCTTGGTGTGCCAAGAGAGGAAGAAATAAGATGCCCAGACTAGACACTTTTATGCCCAACTTCCAGTCAAGCATCTCGTTCATGACTGGCGATATCTGACGGCTTTGAGAACCATCACAGTAGGACTGACTCAGCCTGTGGCAAGGTGTGTGGCCATCTGGTTAGTGGTTGTCATTCTGTCAGTCAGGACGGAGGGAGTACACGTGGTGCCTGGGTTGGGTGACAGACATGAGTTTGTGGGATTGGACTGGACCGCGACCCGTCTGTCACTGTAGCTTTATAAGCAGGGCTCATTGATGGTAAATTAGGGTTCAGAACAGGTAGCCATCTGACATCATCTTGTGCTTGATGTAAAAAGGCAAAACTTGGTTCATTGCGACTGAAAGATGACTCGTAGCGTTAAATCGCAATGAAAGCATCCCAGAACAGGCAAGCACAAGATAGCCGGTTGTACGACCCCGAAATCTTTGTAACATGACAAGGCTACTGGCCCCTCTGGAAGTTCTAGCAAGTTCTGTCCAACAGACAACTACGCCACATGACAGGTTTCAGCATATGCCATCCCCAAAACACCATTCCGATTTCTCACGATGCCAATGAGACACTTCGAACTGGCAAAACCGATGAGCTTCTTTTTTTTAATGCATCACACCACCAACGACAGCCCGAAACCGGCCGGAAGGTGTGCTCCGCATTCAACACAAGAAAGGAGGTCCAAATGTCTCGGATGGCCCGGGTCCAGACCACCTGGCTGTCACACTGACGCCATGATCAGCATTCAAGTCAAAGATGGACGACCATAATAAAATCCGTGAAACAGAACTACGGAAATGTTCAAGTCCCATATCAAACTCCAAAAATGAATCGAAAAAGGGACATCCAGCTTTTCAAAAATGAGCTTTTGTCATTCAACTACCTTATCAAAGCCAAGACCACCCCCCTTTAACTCCACAAAAAGTAAACAAACAAACCCCCTATTTAAAAGCGGGTCCCACCCTTGCCCAATCACAACCCCTCCCAAATCTCCCCAACCACATCCTGCAACATCCTCAACCCATAAAAACCCGCCACCCTCTTATAAACCCTCAACCTCCTCATGACTTCCTCCCTCTTCACACTCTCCCTCCACTCCCCAGAGCAAGTACAATGTTCCATAAACTCATTCACCCTCGCCGCTCCACACTTCCCACACTTCAAATCCTGACAGGTCCACTCGACCACTATCCCCTCCACCTCACCCACCAGCCTCTCCTCAATCGCATTCCTATCATACTCCGCCTCGCAATACTGACAAGCCCACCTCTTTGCCTGTGGCTCCTCGTCGGGCAAAGGCATCAAATCCTCATCCCTGCACAAATCCAAGTCCCGCGTCATGGTGCAATTTTCACAGCTCAACTGGGTTATCTTCAACGACTCCGAGGGATTCAGAAACTGCCCCTCCTTGGAGAACTCCCTCACGTCAAAAAGCGCCAACAACTCCTTCCTCAGCAATCTCGCCTCAAGAGTGATGTTCTTGTCAAGGGAGAGCACTTGCATGAGCGCCTTGACCAGTTCCAGGATTGGGTTCGCCGTTGGCTTTGCTGACGCGCTCTTCTTATGCGCCGGCCCTGTAGACGCAGAAGAAGGAAGCAGCTGAGGGAGGTAAGACCCAGGCAAAACAGGAAAGCTGTAGTCATTGGCCAACTCTGGGTGAAGCATCTCCCTCTTTTGCGCCTGAATCAACCCTAGAATTTCCTTCTTGAGCGGCTTCTCAAAATTCTTCCCCAGGATGATCTGGTTAGCGCCTGTGGGGACCTTGTCATCGGCTTGTTGAGTGCTGTCACCACGGAAGGGGAGCTGGGTCATTCTTGGGGTGGCAGTGGGATCTGATCCATTAGCGGGCCGTTTGATGCCGTGCATGAGCTCGATGAACTCGACTACCCAATCTCGGAAGACTGGCTGCAGTCGGACTGGGAGGAACGTCGCGATTTGCCAGTGCATGATCATCTGGAGATCTTGCTCATCTTTTTCGAGAACTTCCTGGCAGGCTTTACCACCGTAGTTGAACTCGTCGTACCAGACCAGATAGTCCCAGTATTCCTTGATTTCAAGATCGATGAAGTGGAACAGGGGCTTGGCTTTGATGCTCTTGAGGATGTACTGCGAGTAGGCGTACGCATTGCCAACCTCAGATTTGGTGGTTTGCAACAAGAGGCGGTTGGCACTGGCGTACACAACGTGCGACCCCACGCGGCGGAAGTCAGCCATGAGCTGGAGAAGAGCTTTCCGGCTCATCATCTGGACATAGTAGTGCAGAGCTCTGTCATAGAGACAAGATGCCGGGGACTCAACCCAGCGGATGAGATGCTGCACCATAATATCGGCCATTGTCGACCCTTTGCAGGCTTCAGCCCACCATGACTTGACCATTTCGCGAAGGACTTGGACACCAGCGTTCGCAAATGCATTCTCAGACTGAAACGACTCTTCCCCACCCCCGCCATCACCAGCAGGGTTGAAGGAGATACTGTCCGCGCCCTCAAGCTCGTTGATAAGAGACGACGTCAAGATGGTATTGATACCAAGATTGCGAACCTCTATATCAATGCAAACTGAAGCATAGGTGCCAGGGGTATTAACCGAAGGCATCTGCACCTGATCAAGCGGACCAACCACGTCATCCTTCTCATACCCAGCATGGTCAGGCCGCGGACTAGGCGACCACCACAAAACAACACTGTTGGCTTGCAGTCGGCGGGCATAGGCAACGTCGATCAAGAAGCGGGGATCGTCCCGCTCCAAGTTGCACAGTGGCACATCGCCGTACTTGGCCAGGGCAGTCAAGTGCGTGATCCACGAACCAAGGCTAAGGTAGTGGTTCACCAGACGGCGTGCCACCACAGTTTGCCACCCAAGAGGCGGCAGCGAGCTATCGGCCGTGTCGTACTTGAGTGGCATGACAGGAAACTCGCCCAAGATGGGGATATCGTGCACCAGCAGGTTGCGTTGCGAGGATTGGATAACCATCATCATCGGACAGGATTCCTCCTTCTTCATCTTCTTGACAATGTCGCCAATCTCGAGGAAAGCTTTGCGGCGCGTAGTGACCTGAGTGATCTTGACGCTCAGCTTCTCTTGGTATTGGAAGCGTTCTTGCCAGGTAGAGTCTTCACCCTCTTCGCTGATCCGCCGAGCAAGCAAATCTGAGTAAAGCTTGGAGATGTTTGGCAAATCCTGACCGCCGTCCTTGCTCTTCTGCTGGATAATGACATGTGCTTGATCACCGGTTGTCGAGAACAAGCCGAAGATCTGCCGGTCACCGGCGCTGATGTGTGACAGATACACATAAGACATACGGGCGCCCTCCAGATACGGTTTTGGCTTGGTTGGTTTCTTGAGACCATCAAGGTCAAACCCTTGCTCGAGACCCTTGCCAAGAACACCAGCTTGGCTGGTATCAATGGTGCAGAGATTACCCAACTGGAGAAGTGCCCGAAGGTTGAGTGGGATCTGCTTCTCATACACGCCTTCCACACTTGGGTGGTTAAACAGCAGTGAAAACTTCTCCGCCTCGGCAAAGTAGATCTCTTCTGGCACAGTGAGCTTAAAGAGGTGCACCGAAGAATGGCCATTGGGAAGTGTATGGTTGACCTGTTCCACCTGACATCCGTCAATCTCGATATCCGGCAGCTCTTTGCTCTTCAAGTTCAAGAAGACCTGACGTTGGACATTGATTTTGACCGTGTGGATCTTGTTGTCGATGAGTACATAAGCGATAACAATCCCTGGCATGTCCGTTGCCTTTAGCTGGAGAACCTGCCAAGTATTCCTGAAGGTCACCTCGGCCTGGTTGCGGAAGGTCTGCTGGAGACTGTTCTGTGCATTCCCACGCCTTTCACCGAACAGATGGCGTCTCCGTGCCCTGGCTTGCTTTTGAAGCTTCCACTTCTGTTTCTGGTATTCCAAGAACGCGGGGTAGTCCTCGCTTGGATCGGGCATCTTCTTGGGAAGGGCTGCAAAGGGATCCTCTTCTGGCTCAGGGGACTTGCGCTTGTGAGATGCCAGCACTTTCTGGGAGGCAGCAATAGCTGAGGTAACTGTCTTGGGTTTGAGTAGATCACCAATATCCTCCAGATCTCCCAGCTGGTTGGTAATATCGTTCAAAGGGCGCTTGGTGGTGGGTCCAAAGAGATCGGTAAGCTTCTTCTGCTTCATCTTGTCGTCCTTGATGTTGATGCGGCGCTGCAGCCAGTCCGGATGGGGAATGCGCGGTACTGGGTTGCGGACCTTTTGCAGTGCTGCCGGAATGGTGATGAGCTTCTGAATGACAGAGCCAAGACGCTCACGGTAGTACTCCCAGTCAAGCAAGGCACGAGGATCCGTATCGGCTGGCTCTTCCTTGAGCCACTTCTTCAGATACATCCGCTTGGTCTCTTCCTCGGCAGAGAAGATGGCAACTGGCACGGCACGTTCAGTGACAGGCGCCCCCTTGGGCCTGGCACAGATGATGAACTTGCAGTTCAAGCCCTTGTCTTTGACCATCGCCTCACCCAAGAAGTCAGCCAAGCGTTTGGCCGTCGTGATGGATGTGGACTTTTGTGAGCCGTATTCCTCCAGAGTCTTGGTCATGCTGCGGTTCTCGGAAATGAGCTCCATCAGCTCCTCGTCGGCAAGTGTTGTTCCTTTACTGTCGAGGACGTCGAGCCATCTGTTGGCAACCTTGGCCACAGCGGTGTAGCACTCGGCCAGAGTGGTGCCGTCCAGGAAGAACTTGAAGATTTGCTGCTGGAAGATTTTGATGAGCTTCAGCTCACCTCTTCGCTTGACCTCGAAACCCTTCAGCTCAGCAAGACTGCCATCGTCGTTGAACACGGCATAACGCTTCTTCAAGTTCTTGTCCTCTTCCTTCGATGTTGGAAGAACCATGGCCTTGTACGGACCATCGACTTCGAAGAAGATGGAGTTGTCGCTGTGGGTCTCGTACTTGAACGTCTTCGGGTCAACAAGAGTCTGATACTGGTGGTTGGTGAACTTGTCGTGGACCAGGTGGTTCAACATGACACAGGGATACGAAATGGTCATTTTCTTGCCGTTCTTGAGCTTGAAGGTGAAGTTCTCTGGGAACGTAGCCGGCAACATACACCAGATACCATCCGTGTCAAGCTCCAGTGGGCGACCGAGGCGCTCGACCAGAGATCTGGCAAGCTGAATAATGGTAGCGCCCGTCAGACAGGTAACGCCGGCCATTTCCATTGAGTACCAACGGGAACCCTTTCTCATGACGTATCCGTAAAAGGAGTTGAGAATGACCTTGTGCGCCAACTGCAACGAGTCAAACAGAACGATCATCTTCTTGGCGTGGTCAACCTCGGACGCTGATGCCCCTGAGCTCCTGAGGGCATCTGTCTTGCCTTTCCACACCTTGGCCTTTCCTTTGTAGTCGTAACGACGATCACGGAAATCGCGCACCGTGTCGATGTAGAAGGGGTTCTCTCGTTGGCAGATGATGGCTTCTCGGACAATCGTGGTGGAGTCGTGAATCTTGTGGTAGACCTTTTGCGAGTAGAGCTGCAGTCTTTTTCTGATCAGACTTGCCTGTTCATCAGCGGGTAGTTCCCCAAACGATCTTGTCGGCATGTTAGGCCTTTTCCCTGGAAAACGTTCGCTCTCCAACGCATGCCGAATCATGTTGTACTCGTCGCGCTTCGCTGGTAGATACTCTCCTCTCCACGCCCATGGTAACCTTCTGTCGCATGTTTTGCCAGGCCGGTTGAAGTCACAGGCTGCGCAGTCTGACTCTGAGATCATGGAATCCGGCTGCAGCCGATTGGTCGTCATGATGTTGGGATACATGGAGGCGACGTCGAGATGGTAGATCAGGGGGTTCTCGAGGCGGTTTGGCGTCTCCTTGAGGTTCATGAGCTTGGCAACGATTTGCTCCTTCACCTCGTCGTAGTTGGTGATATCGTCCATTGACTTCTTTTCTTCGACCGTGATACTAAACTTCAAGGCAGCATCCAGATCCCTCAACAACTCATCCACTGCCCCTGTGTCAACGGAAAAGGTGACGGGGATGTCTGCCCTGAACACGCCAGCCTCGATACTTTCGACGTGTCCACCAACATACGTCTCTGATTCCAGCAAGTGTCCTTCCCAAAATGACTCCTTGGCCTGGACGTGCTTGTTTGGAAGCACGATACCCTTTTGGTAGGCCTGCACCATCAACAACATCTCGCACAGGGTTCCTGTACCCTTTCTGAGCGTGTCGTCTGGGCCAAGCGGTAGAATGGTACAGAGAGAGAAAATGAAGGGGTGGACGTATTTCATGTACAGATAGTAGGTGGCGACGGCATCGGAGACTGAGTACTCGGCTAGGGTTTGTGGTCTTTCTTGGGCGTAGGGTGTCATGAGTTCGGGATCGAGTTCGTCTGGGTCGTATCCAAGCTTGGCCACCGTGACTGCCTTCAAGCCTCTGCTACCTTGTGGCAGGTAACTGTCACGGTTGACCCAGTGAAAGCAGTCCATGTGCACGCTGTAATTGCACTTGAACTGATCATCGCTGTCCCTTTTCCAACCAATTTCATGGTACAGGTCAATCCCGTTGATGCTAGCACGGGCTTCCACGAAGGGCCAATCGAAGAAATCACCGTTGTAAGTGGCGATAACGGTTGGTCGAGCTTCCTTGATGTGGAGAAAGAACCGTTCTAGTACTGACTTCTCGTCCGGCTCGTTGAAGATCATAAACGGCCCCGGGTATTCTGGTCTCGGTGTGTAATCGAAATCCGCAATGTCTTCGGAGACAACCTCTCGATTCGTGATCAAGAAACCTTGCCCGTCGATCATGTAGGATATCATCATGATCTGATCCACCGCGGCATCGGGAAACTTTAATGGCGCCTTGCACGTCTCGATATCGTAGGCCATGACGACCGGATCTGCTGGGGCGAGGCGGTCCTCATTTCGAATAACAGTCGTCACACCGTTTTTGGCCTCTACAAAATACCAATTACCCACCCGAATGTCTGACAGGAGTTAGCCAACAATGCGGGTAAAGAACCGAGAGGCACGTACCCAAGTCTATCATTACTCTAACGTGGTATGGGACGTCATATTCCCTGATATCAACAATAAAATCGCTCGCCTCAGAAAATGATGTCTTGTGTCGTTGGTCGTCTCTTCGTAAGTCGTCGTCAAAAAGATCAAAGTTGCCGTTTGTTCTGCCATATGTCAGTAAGCCAGCAGGAGAGAAACCCCCTGAATGTCAAACTCACGTAGCAACCTCAGCATATGTGTCCATAGCATCCATCCCCTTCTTATTCTTTTCCGCTATCGGCATAATATCCCTCCTTGCCGCCATCAAGTCTTGCACATTGTGAAACTTGATCTCGAGAAACGTCCTCCTGTATCCCAGCAAGTGATTCGGCATGCTCAAATCCTCCTTCTCAATTTTCTTGATCGACTTGACCACTCCACCCCCAGGTACCCTCTTGCACCACTCCTCCACCTCCCCTTCATGACCCTTTCGGCAAGCTATCAAAAAGTATGGCTCAAAGTCCACCGTCGCCTTGAATGTCTGTCCGTCCTCCTCGATGAAGTAACAGTCAAGCGCTGCCCTGCCGCCACCTCCGGGAATCCGTGGGTCGTCGATAGAGGTAGCTTGTACGTTGACCAACCAGCCCTCGCGCTTCCGTCCGGCGTCATAGCGCGCAAAACCCATATTCTCGTCGATCTGGTGTGCCAGTGCGGTTCTCTCCCACTTCTCATCCATCGAGGTGGCCTCGCCGCGGGTGCTGGACGAGGCCGCAAAGGTTTTTGTCTTGGGGCCATGGTACGCTTGTTTGCCGCCTCGTCGGTAGCCGCCCCGGGGCTGGCGGAGGGAGGTATTGGGCATGGTGAAGGTATGTAACTATCCCGTGGACGGGTGTCAATTAATGTCGACCCGGGGTACTCTGTAGACTCGATGGCGCTGGCTGTCTTGGCTTTCTATGCTGGATGCCGCTGTGCGCTATACGCTATACGATAGTGGAAGTGCCGAGCAAAAGAAAACGACACGCAATCATGAAAAAGGCAGCATTGAACTGATAGAAATGTCAAAGAACGAAAGACACAGCTCCTGAGTCCGTGGATTACTTGGGAAAGGTGCCAATTGGTGGTGGTGTTCGCTGTGGACCACTGCCTCGACTGTGTTGGCAAAAACCCATTAAACAAAGACGCGTTCTGAAGCGCGCTTCCAATCGCGACGCGACTTGGTGGGGCACTTAACGCAGGGGTGAAACGGTGACACCAGAAACCCTAACCCTCTGTAGACAGCTTCCCCACGTTTTGGCAGACAAGTAAAAGCACAGACCACACCATCGAAACGGCATTGGACAGATGCAAGACTTGGAGCTCTGCATCACAAGCCGAAGCTCAAGACCAAGACAAAGTAAACAACCGGCCAGCTCAAACCCAGGTATGCCTCAATTGCACCCACATACTTCCCATATCGACTGTTAACATTCCCAAGTTTGCTCCAGCACCACCCCTCCACCGAACTCAACATCTCCCACCCAAGATGACCACCCCACCAAACGACTCCTCCAACAACCCCGAATCCGACCTCCCGTGGCTCCAAAAACCGACAACAATCACGCCCTCATCACCGTCCCAAAAACAAAATCCCCAAGAAGAAGACCTCTCCCTCACAGCAGCGCTATCAACCATCACCCCCTCCTCCTTCCTCACCGTCCACCAAACCCCCTGCGCCCGCACCGGGCTCCTAACAGGCATAGGCCTCGGCTCCGCAGTCGGCATCCTCCGCTCGATCCTCGGTCTCCCTATCCCCCGCGCCGCCAACTGGGCCGTCGGCACAGGCGCCCTGACCGCCATCCTCCAGTACGAGTACTGCCAGGCTAAGCGAAGGCAGGAGAAGGCCAAAGTGGCCAGAGTGGTAGAGGTATACGGGCAAAAACAGGCTGAGATGAGAGCGAAGGAGGAGGAGGATAGGAGGAGGAAGGCGGAAGAGGAGAGGAGGTTACTGGAGGAGCAAAAGGGGAAGAGTTGGTGGAAGGTTTGGTAGGGACGTCACAAAGTGTAGGATAGTGAGGTGTAAGATAGGTTGTACATATACCAGCGGGAGCACCAGCACGAGGGGAAGCTTTTGGGTACCAAATACAAGATATCATTCATGATGGGTATATTTCCATTGTCATGTTAAAACAATTCAACGCTGCGCTATTCACCATATTCAAGATCCTCCTTCAAATCCACCCAAATCACACCACTGAGAACAAAAGGAAATTCCCAAAAAAAAAAAAAAAAAAAAAAAAAAAAAAAAGACAGTCATCCATGCGGCCGTTATCATTACTTCAGTAAACCCATGATAAAAAAAAGAAATTGTTGGCTAGCCTGCCGCTCACAAAAAGAACCAGGAACTCCATAACCCATCATTGCTAGAACAAGCTGCCAGAACCCTGCAAAAAGCCCAAGCCAGAAACCAAACGCCAGTTTCCCCAATATACCGTTGAAAAGCCCCGTCCCTATCCTGGAAATAAATCCCCAGCCCCCAAACCCTAAACCGTCACCTTAACCTCAGCGCCCCCGTCCAAAAACCTCACCCTCCTCCTCTCCACCTTCTTCTTCACATCCGAGCTACTCCCACTGAGGCTAACAGCCGGACTCTCCCCTCGCCTCCTCCTCTGGCTCCTCCACGCCCTAGCCTCTCTTTCCTCTCTTTTCCTGTACTCAGCCAGCTGCTGCTTCCTCTTCACCGTCCTCGCATAGGCCACCGCAGCCGTAGGCTTAAACCCAATCCCATTAATCCCCGTCCCATCATCATCGCTGTCATCAGGGTCATAAATCGTAATCTCGTCGTCGTGCCATGTCAGCGATGCCCTTAAGGGATCCGTAATAACCGTTGTCGGTGGCTTCGGAGCAGCCGCCGTCGCCTCAGCCGCCGGTGGTTTCGGAGCCAAAATCGGGAGGTTTGTAAGTGTCATAGCCGGCAACGGAAGCTGTGCTTGCGGCTGGGGAGTAGTCTTTCGACTGCGGGGCTTTTTCGCAGCAGGCTTTGTCCTCGATGGTAGAGTAATTGCTCGAGGCGCGGTAGTGTGCGTGTTGGCGATCGTCTCCGACTGTTCCACCACCCCAGTATCAATCGCGAAACGGAGCGATTTTGGTGACGACTGCCGCTGCTTATCGGCGGTATCTTGGTGTTGTTGTTCTGCATCCTGCAGACTGTCCCGGGTAACCGCATCCGCTGTCACATTATCATCACCCATCACCACCTCCCGAGTCCTCGCCCGTTTGCGGGATCCCTCCTCCGAATTGTTCATGTCCATCTCTGATGACGAGGAGGTATCCATCGCGCTGCCAAAATCTGGGGGGGGTCCAAAAGAGTTTCTAACACTGCCGGTGCTGTCTCCACTACTGTTGTTGGGGACAACCCCACCCCCACTCGGCGTGGGCCCCAGGGCGAGGCCCCGGAACCTGTGTGCGACGCAGCTTCGGGGGCTTGTGCTGCCGTCGTCCGTTTGGGAGGAGTCGGGGCTGAAGGTGAACTGTTGTTGTTGATGTGCTGGAGAGGGGAAGTCGGGGATTTGACGTCCTAGTATCTGCTCGCGCTTTCGCTTTGGCGTTGAGAAGGGTGATGGCGCTGCCATTTCAGTTGTTGGTGTGAACATTCGAACGTTTCGGGAGGCGGCGGCGCTGGCGGTCAATTGCTGCTTGATGAATCCACCGAGCCTTATAGGGCCGCAGATGAGGTGCGGTAGTGCTTTTGGGACTCGATGATCTTGCCGACGATATAGCAGCTGTGGGAGTTGGGTGAGGAGACCTGGGAGGGGGGAAGGAGATATAAACAGCTGGCTGTACGGTAGTAGGTTCCAAAAACGTGGCAGTTGAGTGCAGGTGGTCTTGACAATGGATGGCTTGCCGATGCGCTACGCTATTGTTGGCCGCCCGGCGGTTGAATCGCTGAAGAAGGGAGTCGGAGTCTGAATGCAGGGCACCAGTGGCTTGTGCAGGGGTTTCGCCCCACTTTTGACAGTCGCATGAGCACATCGAGCCCCACCTTTTGCAACTTCAACTGATCACAATCGACCCAGAGACTCCGGTCCTCCAGTCAAACGATACGTCACATACCCGATTGCTATTGCTGTACACGTGGGATATGTTTCACAAAATCTTTTGGTGTCTATTAACTTCTAGTGTTTGACAACCAGGACCGAGTACAAACCCAACCTTTTGCCCAACCTGACGTTGATACCATCGATGCCAACCACGTCTTGCCCGTAGCCTTGTTTGCAACCACATCGCCAAAGAGACCTCTATAAATTTCCAACCAGACGCAGGAATTCTAAATCTTCAAGTCTCGGAGGCGAGTGAGCATCTGTTTAGCATACAAGGGGCGTTGGTATAATGTAGTCTCAGCTTTCTCCTAGCTTGGAGAAACACCATCCCAACCTCAACGCTTTGGAATCCTAGCTTGGAAGGGGTTGTGATCTCAGCATTGGGGAGTTGTAGTCCCAGCTCTTAATGCAATAGACTGGTACTTACATCATCACAATCTACACCACCCTCTATCCAGGCGATTGAGTCATTCTTCAACTTCACCATCTCAGCCCCTTGCGTGGCTTGCGCGGCTTTCTACACCGCGAGGAAGCCATCCAGGGAGCGCTTGATAGCGCCATGGTCCCGTGCGCAATCACGGAGGGTTTCATCCAAGCACTTGTTGAAATTTTCGCGCTCCCTGTCTTGCATCTTTATCGAGTTTGCGGCTACCGAGATGTCAGATTGCCCTTGCTGATCACCGAAAAGCACAGCCTTGTTGACCGTGAGCTCAATGGCAGTGACTCGATCATGAAGGGCCTGAACTGCTTGAGTAAGGGCATCCAACGTAGCAGCGTCGGTCGACAGAGCAGTGGCACCCGTGGCCGGCAGGTTGTTGTGCTTTTTGAGGGCCTCGATCGTGTCCCCTTGATCTTTGATCAAACGCGCTTGTTCCTGCAGGATCAGGTACATGTTGGCTTGCATGTTGGTGATATTCTGGCAGAGCTGGTCAATGTCGGCCTGTGTGTCATCAACACGTTCATCGGCAATCTTCACACCGGTTCCACAGGGAAAAGGAGTCGTCTTCTCGGTGATCGAGGGCAAGGTCGGCGATACTGTCGTCGGTGGAGCCCAAAGGTTTGTCAAGATCCTTGACGGCTTCTGTGGGTGCCATGTTCTTGGAGCCAACTGACACTGAAGACAGCCAATGCTCTACGTCGTCGCAACTGCCGAGGTCGACTTCAATTCCATTGATCTCTTCATCGCGCAACACCTGCATCACTGTTAGACACCGGAAGGAACTGCTCAGTGTCAATGGTCGAGATACTTGCCTGCATAATCTGAGCGAGCGTGATCACAGCATCAGGCTGGATAGCGGCGGGGTCGAGAACGGGAGCAGCGTTGACGGTTGAAGAAGCAGCCTGAGTCCGTCATTATGTGAAACAAAACGCTGAGAAAGTCGACCATGATAATTGACAGTGTTGGCATTGCAGCGGCATTTCACAGTGGAAACGAATGTGTATGGAGGCAAGCCAGGGTAGGGAACCATCGACGGCGAATGTGTTTGATCGGGGACTTACATCAACCGAACCCACGGCCGTCTTCTTGCGATGCTGGGTTTTTTTTCTTTGACTTCACCATTGTTATTCGTGAGCAGGCGGGCTGGCAAAATGGAATCGCGAGGAGGCGATAACAGAAGCGCGGGCCGGCGAAAACAGATGCTCAAGTGGACAAGAACGAAAGCCCCAACAGTGGAAAGAGAGGCGCAAGGAGGAGAAAAAGGAGCAGAGGAAGAAGAGGGGATCAGAAGAGGGCAATTTATACCTGAGTAGCAGAAGGTGGGGCCAGCCAATGGCCGGAATCAATCCCCATTGTTTACCTATTGTTCCCTATCATCGTAGCAAGGTGAATAGATAAGGGACTCACACGGTTAGTCAGCAAGGTATCTACGTAAGCTGGTTGGCTGATTTTTCCACTCGCGAAGAAGGAGCAACGCAACACTCGGAGAAATCAGGTTGTAGAAGAATACCCTGGAAGGGCAGAGGGCACAAGGCAGGAGAGCTTAGGTGGAAGTACGGTAGGGCAGTGGGAAGGTGAAAAAACAGGACGGGAGCAAGGAATACCAGCCATCAAGGTACTTGACGGGCATTGACACAAGGTATTGGGTCAGATAGACACTCAATAAGTAAGAGTCTAGAACATCTGTCAATATAGATATGACAATGCAGAAGCTACCGCACCCTATGATGGCCATGATCGTGGTCTAGTTCTCATCGTGCTGTTAAATCATCCCGCCACACCAGCCACACTGCACTGCCACCCCCTGATCAAGCTCTGATGACATAAGTATTGAACAAAGGCAGGCCACATTGCGTCCTTCCCAGTGGATGGCAAATGTCTTTTCTCTCCTATCATGACCTTGCTGTGGATGGTAATTTTCTTTGCTCTGCTTTCGTTTAAGACTCACGCAAAGTTGAGCCTCAAGGATCTATGATCTCTATGCATAGCAAGGGATGTTTACATACTCTTCTGGCAGAGGGAGGTGTTTGGAGTTCGGTGGTTGCAAAAAAGACTAATGTTTGCATTGTGATATCTAAGCTAAGTTATAAACTCACCAAAGAAATAACTTCTTCAGCTGCATCGACCGTATCCCCTCTGACACCCAGTGCCGCAGTGCGCACTCGTTGTCCCGCAGAAGCCACCAGCGCTGCAGCATTGATTGTTGAAGTCGCCACCGTTGCATGTCCACCCGCCCTTACTTGGGCCACAGCTGCCATCAACAGAGGGAATGTTGCTGGTAAGACAGGCACTCGAGAAGCTCTTCTGGCTATTTTCATTGTCAGTCGGGCACAAAACATATCAAGAGAACAAGAACCTGGAATGTTAGGTAGCTTACCATCCTTGACCGCAGTGACTAGCAGTTCCGCCACAATTCCCAGTGGCTGAACAACAGTTCCCAAACGCCGATCCCACACACGTCTTTCCATTGGAACCGCATTTTCCACCAGTCGAAATGCTCCCGCTTCCACTTGAGCAAGTGCCAAAGCTGGGCTGGCAGCCCACGCCACAGTGGTCCGTTGTTCCACCGCAGTTACCAGACGGCGAACAGCAGTTTCCAAATCCTGAGCCTGTGCAAGTCTTCCCGTTGGATCCGCACTTGCCATCGGTGGAAATAGTGCCACTACCGCTGTTGCATGTCCCGTAGCTGCTTTGCCAGCCAGCACCGCAGTGCGCAGTGGTGGTACCGCAGTTGCCGCTGGACGAACAGCAATTACTAAATCCTGAGCCTATGCACGTCTTTTGTTCACAGAGCCGCATGTACCATCGGTCGAGATGGAACCACTGCCACTGGAGCAGGTCCCGAAGCCGCTCTGGCAACCAGCACTGCAGTGATCCGTCGTGCTACCACAGAAGCCATTCCGAGAGCAGCATTTTCCAAAGCCAGAGCCCGTACAAGTTTTGCCATTCCTTGACCCACACTCCCAGTCAGTCGAGATGGAACCGCTCCCGCCGTTATATGTGCCAAAACCAGACTGACAACCTGCACCACAGTGATCACTGGTACCGCCACACCATCCTCTTGCCGAGCAACAGTCTCCAAAGCCAGAACCAGTGCAGGTCTTGCCATTGGCACCGCATTGACCGTCGGTGGAAATATTTCCTGTCCCAGCATCACAAGTCCCAAAGCCAGACTGACAACTGGCCGCGCAGTGATCAGTGGTGTTGCCGCACCAGCCTCCTGACGAGCAGCAGTCGCCAAAGCCGGACCCAGCACAAGTTTTGTCACCGTTTGCAGGGCCGCACAAGCCGTCAGTACTGACGTTGAACTCAGTGCAGATGCCGAAAAGAGATTGGCAGCCGGCACCGCAGTGTCCAGGCGAGTCTCCGCACCAGTTGGTAGATGAGCAGCAGGAACCAAAGCCTGAGTTGGTGCAGTTGTACAAGTTGGGATAACCACAAGAGCCGTCGGGTGAGGGACGCCAGTCCAAGGGATATTGCAGTTGCCGTAGCCATGCTGGCTGTTTTGTTGATGTGTCTTGTAAGCAGATGGGTATTGGAACGGAGGGAAAGGAAGTACTCACCAGCCATCTCCACAGGCGTCTTTAAATCCACAGCGTCCATCGGCACCACAGCCGGCTCCCCAGGTAGGCGTGCAAAAGTAGTCCTCTAATGAGTTAGGGCCACAGCTGTCATCGTCGGTGAGGACGCCCGTTTGCCATGCTGGAGGGTCGCCGGGACTCTGGGATAGGACACCGCCGAGGTTTCCGGCGAGGAGCCCCAAAAGGGTGGCCCATGAAACGCGCATCGGGTAGGGTCCGCTCAATGTCGGGCTTTTGTCTGTCGTGTGATTAAATGGTCAAGATTAAAGATGAGAAGGGGCGAGTCACCATGGTCCACTGCGTTACGCCTCACCTTACAGCGTCTAGTGGGAGAGTTGATCATGATATGGTTGACAACCTCTCTCTCACCCTCGAGCAACAATAGAGCTCCCACATGGCACTCACATGGGAATGGGCGGCAAAATGTCCGACGCTCCCACTTTGGTCCCCGGATTGATGGTTTTGACGGCAGCATGGCCTTGGCGTGTTCATATCAGACCTCTGGCACAAGTCCGTCACGTCCGGTCTTTGGATCAGCGCGTGTTCCAGACGTGCTCCGGGTGACATCGGGCCGGGCAGTAACCCCTTTCTTTCTAGAGCGACTGTACTTGCCGGGATCGGGATTGGAGTTTTCGGGGCGATGCGGCCCGGATACTCCGCTAGGAGCCCGATTGCTGACGGAAAGTCAGCGAGTTGAACAAGTAGTCGCGAGTGACGGAAAATCACCTGAGAATATTTTCATCTTTGCCACATGCAAGAGAACTTCGATCCCAGCTAGGTAGGTCCTTGCTTATGTTGCGAATTTCCCGTACTACTGACTCCAGACTCCCGGTAACGAGAGCAAGAAGAAGTTGATAAACATGTGTATAGTCCCAGCACAGCACTGGTATTCCTCATGCTGGAAGAAGGTCCTGTCGAGCATCTAGCCTGAAGTGCCCGCCCTGTGAGGATGACACTGGCAGGTATTAGTCGGACCGGCACAGGCCTTTGGGCCGCTGCTGTGCTCCTGCTCCTTCTGTGCGTGTCGCCGCTTCTTCATTCTTTTACAACAAACATCAATGTCGTCATCGCACCCAACACCCAAAATCTGCCTCGGCATGCTGCTGCCATCTCGATTGAGCGCCGTGAAACTGCCGCCATTCCCGACGCTCGTTGTGGCGTTGCCCACACCAACCCCCTCAAGCTCACCCCTCACGAGCCTCTTCTTTTCGAGGAACCTGTCGAGGGGTCATCTCCCTACCTGTCAAGACGTTCTGAAGGCTTGTCAAAGCGGCGAGACGGGCCGTTGTACTGCCATGACGGCCCCTGCATTGACAACAGCTGCTGCGGCCCCGACAATGTCTGCGGCTTTGGCCCTGATTTATGCGGGGAGGGCTGTCGTTCCAATCACAACGCGACGGCCATGTGCGGCGAGCACAGCGAGTTTGCTGAGATGCCTTGCGGAATGAAATTGTGTTGCTCGGCCAGCGGCTGGTGCGGTGTGAATATATACTTACCTGTGTGCTATTCTGAGCGACTGCTGACTGTCTACCTAGTCGACCGAGTCTTATTGCCACAATGCCGACCCCTTGCGAGGCACGCTGCCCTGTCAGGCCGGATACAGTTCCTGCTACACCACAGGCCCCCCATCGTGCCCCTACGGCGATGGCAGTACAGGTGGCCGTCAACTCGGAATCGCTTGTTTCGCCCGTGAGTAATGTCTTGCTGCGAGCCCGCCAAAACACCTATCTTATTTGTGACGTTGAATCACGATGTGCGAAGTGCGTCACGCCCAGACCAAACATTCCTGACCCGTGCATCAAGGTGTACATGGTATACACCATGACCACGGCCAACTTCCAGGGCATTGTGTACAAGGCCGAGCAGAGTATTAACGGCAAGATGGAAACATACTGCGACACGTTTGCGGGGAGCACGGATCGGTGTTCGGGGAAGAAGAACTATGACTGTGGGAATGGAAACTGGGTGGACAGCTGGACCGGGGAGCGGTTCTTGTTTTATGTCAAGGCGAATGACAAGGTGTATGATATCCAGGCCAAGGCGCAGGTATTTGAGGGTGTGTGGGATACGTGTAATGGGGCTGCGTTTGCGTGTATTCCTACTGTTTTTAGGGGAAAGGCGGGGTGTTGATGGCCTTTCGAGGTGTAAATAGCAGGGAGACGTGCTTCGCTGCTAGCGGGTGCCTGGCAATTTAGATATCCACAAAGACCGGCTTCCTTGGTCAACTCAAAGTCAATGGAACCTCAAGAACAAGGTCAACTGACACGTCCATGGTGGGAAAACGGTGCCAATACCCACCAGTGTTGGAGGGGGCTGGGTGGTTGTTGTATCTCAGCAGGATGTCTGGTATCGTGGGTTTTGGAGGTTGGAAGAGCGCTTGGGTGGATAACTGCAGGTTATGTGCATTGTCTGGGTTGATATTCCTGTGGTGGTACGGTTCAGTGGTTAAATACGTAAACTTTTGCCTGCATGTTCTGAAAGTCAGTGAATGAGTAGCTCTTGATAATGGCATGGTAAGGAGACATCAGCTCCGGGACCTTGATGAGCAAGATGTGACAAAATCGTCCCTTCTTCAACACAGCCTGGGCCCACTTCAGACTCCCTCGTGGTTCGGATGGCCCAGATCATCCGAACTTGCTCCAGGCAGGGAGCAGTGAATGGTTGCTCTTCACTTATGCTGCTCCCGTGCGCCGAGGGAACACGTCATCGTCCCAATAAACTCCGCGATATTCAACGTTTCCTCTACATCTGATCAAGGATGCGTTTTCGTCTAAAGGGATTCCCTCAATCTCTTATGATAAACAAAATTGTGTTGGGTCACGTTTGGTAATCTTTTTTGCCCATGTTGGAACAGGACACCGTGTTACTGCTCCATCACAGGTATAAGAACAGGGCACTTTCACCACTTGCCCTCATTCTTTTCCCCCATCACAAACTCGTCCTTCTCTGATACCGCAGGCACCTTCAGCTTACACCACCATCGCACATCATCACCACCACCCAAACGCTTCTTGTTGCCAGCCTCATTTCGTTGCGCGGCAAAGTTATTGATCTTTGCCATCGGGCGCAACACCACACTCAATCACAACCGCCCGCAACAGACCATCATCATCGGCTTCACATTAACAAGTCGCCCATAGACCACGGCTGTCATATCTCTTAAAACCCTCTTCACCCAAGTCTTCGGGGCCTCTTTCCTTTCTTTGTAAGTCCCACCCATCACCCCCTTGGCAGAACGCCAAGCCTTCAGGGGTAGTAAACAAAGACCCACTAACAAATCCCAACACCACAGCAACTACGACAATGGTCCATACCAAGTACGGTCCCAACGTCCCCGGCATGATGTGTAAGTCTCCTTCCACTTTTTCCTCCCATCATCACCACTAACCCCTTTTCCAGTTCCGCAGATTCAGCACCCCGGCGCCACAACCGGCCTCGACGCGAACAACAACCCCTACGTTTATATTTCCGGCCTCCACGGCTCCGGCCGCCTCCCCCAGCCGCCTCCCCTCACTCACCCTGGCTTTCCTGCCGCGAACCTCATCAACTCCACCGGTGGTGCTGGTGCCGAGCCTGGGTTCAACTACTTCTTTCCTACCGAGCACGCCGATGTTATTGTGCTGCAGAGTGCGGTTGCGCCCTGGAAGTTGACGGAGGGGTATACTCGGTTGGACTATTGGACTGTCAAGGTGCCGGGGAATATTACCATGGGGGAGTTGCTGGCTGGATTAGGGGTGAGCAGCGGGAATGGGGGGTTGTATGTTGTTTATCAGCAGGGGAATGGGAAGTGGGAGCATCAGGAGAGTATGACGGGGGTGGATGGGAGGTTGATGCGGCGGAGTGTGAGGGAGATGGGGTGGTGCAGGAGGGGCAGGGAGGGGAAGGTGAGGAGGACTTATATTTGGGTTCAGAGGGTTTAATGCCGGATGGGGATGGGGGGTTGATGCGGTGGTTTGATGCCGGCTGGGGTGGGGGGTTAAGAGGGTTTGTTGTGGGGGTAACTTTATGAAGTATCGGCTAAGGGGTATGGGTATGACAGGTGGTGAAAGGCCAAACAAGGAAAAAAAGTAGTCAGCGGCTCAAAGGTGGCAAGGGGCACGCCCGGGTGAAGGGTCTTGGTGGGTATAGCTATTAATGCAGTGTTTCTCCCCTGAGGTGATGCATCGTTAAGTTTCATTTTTCGGTTGCGGTGATAACGAATCTTAGGTATATTTGTCTGGTCAGTATCTCTGAAGCATAGGTAGGAAACACCATCCTGGCTATGCTGAATCTATTTTGCGTGTGGTATGGACGCCATCAGCTTAGGAGATGGTATTTGCGTGCAATGATGCTGACTTCATTGAGTACTCAGGCCGCTGAAGGTTGTCCGGTATGCCATGAGTCAACCATTGCAGTTGTTGCTCATTGTAGTTCGAATCGCGGTGATATCTGGGGGCAGGTCAAGCTCCAAACAAGACTGCCCCCAATCGAATACACCAGACCGTCCAAGAAGCGGAGAAGATCTACCGAGTACTTTTGAGCTTCTTTTGCCTCCTTCACGACGGCCAGGAACTTGTCGACGTAATCTTTGATGGTAGTGCAGCAAATCTTGTTGGCCTTTGCCAGGTCAACCCCCTTTTCCTTCATGGTGACCAAGATGGCATTTGGAATATGGGTCTTGCCGCTCTTCATGGCGTCTTGTTCCTCCTTCTCCCAAGAATAAAGATCGTTCACGAGAGCAAAGGCAATTTACCCGGGCCGGCACAGGTCCGAACACACCGCTTTTTCCTCATCTGGGATGCTGATGGCACGGCCAAAGTAGAGCATGCCACTCCGGAAGCTGCCATATGTTAGCACCCAAGAAAGAATAGGCCCTATAGGATATACCCACGTCTTTCCAAAGTCTTCGTTTCGATACTCGATGTAGTCAGCCAACCTGAAATGCTGTGCTCTCGAGCAGTCCCCACCGCCGCCACCCTGAAGAAACTCCTGCCAGAGTTTAAGAGCTACTAGCTCCCGGTCTGGATTGATTCTAAGAATCTCCGAGACCATCCATGTCTGAATCTTCTTGATGTTATTGATGGACAATTTGGGTACCGCGTCATCGTTGTTGGTGGAGTGTTCGTTCTGCAAGGCGAAGCCGGAGAGGACCTCAGTCAGTGTTTCTTGCCCTTCTGTCTCTTCCGCGTTCTCAAAGACATCGTCATTGAGAAAGCTAAACTCGTTAGCATATGTGACGATGGCCAGCCCGTCCGGGAGGCATTCCGGCATTGAAAGGGGCACGGCGTTGGACTTGGGGTGAAGGCCACCTCGGTCTGCCGTACCGTGTCAGTAAATGATTTGTGTCTGAGCAAGGAGGATAACAGGGTAGGCAGCTACATGATCCAACCGGGGCGACATTCTCTTTCCAGTCTTCAATTGCGCCAATGATGGCTAGGTCGGTGGTCTTGTGATGATGGTGGATTCGAACCTTGATGCCATCACACAGGCCTTGAGTGTCATACACGGATGGATCAAGGACGTATGAGTATTGGAATTCCATTTGGGTGAAAGATAGGATGCTAGAGTAAAGTTTGAAGTAGCGATCTAGGTAGGAATATGAAAAAAGCTTTAGTCTTGTTCGCTACCCACAACCGTCGTCCTTATATACACTGGGCTAAGCCTTTACCGGTCAGAGACAGCCCCCATCTTGTGGTCGAGTGGCTGCAAAGTACCTACCCAAATAAGAATATGCTTTAGGTTATGGCAAGAAGCCCCAGGTGCAGCATCCGAAACACATCGGAGCTTTTGCCTCGTACAGATCTTGGATGAGATTACCCCAGACAAGAGGCGTCAAATATCAGGTTGTTCTGCCAGGAAAAAGGGCCGCTGTGTGACAGATGTAACCACATTGGCAACCCTTACAGGTTTCTGTGAAACCAGCATGATAATCCTCTTTTGTAGAACAAGTACAAGAGCGCATTATGAATCAGGATTTAGTCCCGAGTCACATGCATGACCAATGGCTAATGTAGAATGATGGGAACAATGGGATCGTCTGTTTCTCAACACTCTTAACAGCTCGGCCTGTCTCTAAGTGGGATAGGGATGTCAGGTGCTGCTCTGCTTTCATGGGTTTTTGTCCTCAACCGATCGCACCACGGAACCTTCACCATTCAGGGTGATCGTGAACAGGAGGTTTTTAGACCAGAGCCATCTTAACGGGTCATCTCTTGTTGTTGTCACCTCTGCGGGACTTGCTTTCTACGGTCTTGCACTGACTATCTACCGCATTTGGTTTCATCCACTCGCTGGCTTTCCTGGTCCAAAGCTGGCCGCTGCGACAGGGTGGTACCAGACGTATTACGAGGTTATGACCTACGGAAAGCTTTCTTTCAAGCTTGCAGAACTGCATACAAGATATGGTATGGCATTCCCTACCTGCATGCTAGGTTGCTGATGGATTTGCTGACATGGGCTATCCACGCAATCTGTAGGACCAATCGTGCGATTTAGTCCTTGGGAACTCTCCATCAGAGACCCGGGATTCTACCAAAACAGTTATGCCCACGGTTCTGTCCGCCGTACTGAGGTCAGTTTGCGACAAATAACGGCACTCGGCTTTGACGGCTCTCACATGTTTACAGAGTTTCATGAGCTACACCGCTTACGACAGAAGCCCCTCGAACCATTCTTTTCTCGTCGTGCAGTTGAGTTCAAAGAAGACCCGATTGCTCAGAAGGCACAATTTATCGTTGCTCGCATAGGAGAGTGGATTGGCAATGGCACACCTTTGCAACTGGAGCTTGCTTATTTTGCTTATGTCACGGATGTTGTTGGGGAGATTCTCTTCGGGGGTGAGAACCTGAGTTTGTTGGAACACAGCGAGTTCGCACCTGATTGGTGAGTATAATACTTGAGGTACATTTCCTTAGATATTTGCTTGCGCCCAGCACCCACCTGAAACCTCCCAGGGGGGACATGATGAATGAGATGAAAAAGCATACGCCGATTATGCTTAACGCTACTTGGGTGGCGAGGTAAGGCCAACCTGCAATTACCTACCTTACTAGAAAGTCAAAGTTAACATAGAGTCAGAATTCTTCGCAAGATATCAGTTGTTGTTCTAGTGAAACTGCATCCGGGAGGAGCCAGCTTCACAGCGTATGCCAAGGTGGGTTGCCGAACACACTGCTCATGAAAGAAGGCTGATGTTCCGAGACTATTGACCGCCTCCTCAACCACACCATCCAAGATCTTCAGAATCTAAACATTGCCGAGATCAAAGCCCGGCCGGCCGTTAAGCGCACTATTGCGCAAAATCTCCTGCTCTCGGATATGCCCACGCGGAAATCGTTCCGTCGACCAGATATGGAATCGAGCCAGATCAGGGCTTCGAGATGGCGTTTTTTTCGCAGTGCGGAATGAGGCGTTGGTCCTCGACTTATGATACTGGGTTTGAAAGGGTGGGCAATGGAGTCATAGAAATATGTTCGCTGCTGAAAAGAGGAAGAAGAGGAGGAGGAAGATGAAGAGATGTTTTAAATGGCAGCGGACTCCTGAAATGTCACACGCTGAAAGAATCACGGGGTAAAGCCACATCGCGGCACATTATTCAGCTGCAAACCTATCACGCTTCACTCCAGTCCCACCAGCCACACTTGGCCCCTGAGCTGATAGTAGTTGATGATGACGATGATGAGCAGAAAGGAACAAAAGGGGGACAAGAACAGGGAGAAAAAACGGCATCAAAGCTATCTCATGAACCTGCATATTGCTTTCACTGCCTATCTCTAAGCCCTTGTCAGTAGGTGTGGTCGTGCGTTCTGGGTTGTTGCTATCATGCTCAGCTGAAAATCAGGTAGGACCATTGCCCCCAGGTCAGGGGCATCACCTCACCGCATGGCATAGATATCCTAATAATCAAGTCTCTTAACCACATCTTCCAGCACGTTCGTCACCCACGAGATGGGAGCTCGTAAGCTTTGTTCACCCTGTGTATTTTACCCGCGGAAAAAAAAGTCTGTGATATTTCCTGTGGCATTGTTCATACCCAACGCCAGTAAAAGGTGAAAAGGGGTAAGTGTTAAGGTTGAAACGCAAGTTCAGTTGGGCATACCAACCTATATAAGCCCAATCTTGGAAGTATTCTTAGTAGGTTTCAATGTCATGTCAAAAACGGTCTTGACTCGTTGTGTTTTTACTATGTTCACCTCATAGTCACTTTCCATCAATTTTCATTGTTGCCCATAAGATCTCATTAAGCGGTCGTAGCTAGCCCATTTATAACTTCATCCTGGCAGATAATGCCCCTTGACAGGCCACCTTCTTTACCCAGCTACTCCAAGAATTCGTCCCAGCTAAGAAATTCCACAGAAAACACCATAGTCCGTGTTAAAGAGCATGCTCCGGCAGCTAGCACCCTTAGCGCGGAGCATACCATGGTATGGTGACTCCATTAGATAACTGTAGAAGGTGGTCGAAACCTCACAAAGTGACTCAACTCCATCACGAGCCAGTGAAATAAATCAGCAGGTTGGGGACGACGCGTAGTTTGGACGAACACCTGCGTGCACCCCCCCAGCCTGAGTATCTACCCCCTAATCAACGATGGCCATACCTCTCCAACAACCGAGCAGCACTCTCCCTCAACACCGCCGGCTGAATTGCTCCTCCCCTGGGGTTTTTCCCAACAAAATCGTGGTACTGGCCCAACACAGCTGCAATAGCTTCCTTTCCAGCATAGGGGAAATCTGTCCCAAAGAGGACCCGATCAGAGCTCGTGTAATCAAGGAGGCTCTCCAGCTGGGCAGTGGAGCTAATAAGCGCGGTGTCAAAGTAGAATTTTGCAAACCCAGCTTTGACGTCCTCGCGCGTGATGTTCACCATCCCCGCCAAGGCCGGGTTGAGCAACAAGCACTCGATACGATTGGCCAGGTAAGGGAGTGTTCCTCCCGCGTGTGAGAGGATGATGTCGACGTCGGTGTAATCACGCATGATACCACCAAAGACGATGTCAACCGCCGCGCGAGTTGTAGCAATGGGGTAGTCGATTACCGGCTGGGGTAGTCGATTACCGGCTGGGGTAGTCAATTACCGGCTGGGGTAGACTGCTCGCAATAAACCGAGGGGTGATGTCGAGCGTTGTCGGATGCAGGAAGATCAAGGCGTGGTAGTGGTTGAGCTTTTCCCAGATGGGCTTGAACAGAGGGTTTGACGGGAGGTACGAGCCGTAGGATGTGAACACCGTGACGCCCTTGCAGAGCTTTTGCTGGCAATAAAGAAAGTCGATTTCATCGAGCGTGCCGTCTACATCCTGCCAGTCGGGAAGTACCCTGAAGAAGGCCAGACGGGAAGAGTTCTCGGACGATGTGGCATACGTGGCAAGCTGGGTGTTGAGAGCACGGGAACGGTTGCGGGCAGCTTGGCCGGTACCGGCAATGGAAACACCCGGGGCAGAGACGGAGAGAATGCCGAGGGAAGCGCCAGAGAGATCAAGAGAGTTGATGGCCGCTTCGGGACCAAGTAGGCGAGGGAAAGTTGGAGGGATCGCCGCCTGCTGTTTCGATGGCCGCCACGTAGACAGGTGGAAGGGCATGAACGTGGACGTCGATGAGACCAATAGGGGTCCCAGAGCTGGTGTTGCTATCCATCGTAGACACTGAGGACTTGAAGACAGTGATGCTTTCAGAAGAACTTAACCAGCAACGAGCACTGGTTTAAAATGTACTTGCCCAACAATGATTGAGACCCGTGACATTTTGACGTGATTGGCAGCGGCTTCGGACAACTGGCCTGGTATCATGAGATTAGATGAAAAGGAGGAATATCACCGATTCTCCAGTGCAGCGTTCACAGTGGTCTCTTCAAAGCTTTTGGCGGAAACAATTTTGTTTACTGTGCAGGAGGCAACTAAGTGCGGCGTCTCAAGGTGCTTTGCTCCTCCCTGAAATACTATTAGCTTGGTGATCATGAAGATCGCTAACTGGATGTAGAATGGCTGTTGTTAGTTCTGGCGTGTAAGCGAAGCTTTTGAAGGCCAAGACGGGAGTTGGGCAAGGGACCGGGAAGGTCTTGCCGTGCATGATTTTCAGCACAAGACTCTAAGTTTAAGGGACACCAAGTCTGGTGTTACAGCCAGAGATAAGACTTTCAGTCAGACAATCATACCAGAACAGATTATTCCTATTCCCTCGCTCATCAAGAGATCGTATCAGCATAGCCTTGTACCCTGCATGTATTCGAACAGATATATACCGCCCAGAATCTGACAAAGGCAGCAAAAAGGGTCCGACGCACTCTTATCTCTCACGCCACGTTCAACTGTCAAAGCACAGCATCAGCACACCCCATGAAACCCTCTCAATCCCCAACCCCATCCCTCACCAACCTAACCCCACCGCCCATAAAACCCAAGCTAAACCCCTTCCTCGGACTCCCCTTGCCCACCACCATTTCCTTCTTCGGGCTGGCATCCATAACCCCAACCCCCTCCCTAATCCTCTTGGGACTTTCTTGTTGTGGTGTCGTCTCCTGTGCCCTCAACCCCCTCCTCCTCTCTACCTCCACCACCAACCCCTTCAGATACACCTCCGCCTGCACAGTAGCACTGTACGCCTCAGCCGTCCACAACCAAACATTGGTCCTTCTCGGATCCGCCCCCGCCGCCAGTAATGTCCTCAATACCAACAAATTCCCATTACTACTCGCAAAATGCAACGCGGTATTCCCATCCAAATCAGCGTTTCTCAACGCACTCTCCGCTCCACCAGGCGCGTACGTTAGCAGCAACTGAACAACTGTGTCGTGCCCATGTAGTGAAGCTTCCATGATTGCGTCCCGCCCTCGTATATCCTGCCTGACGATACCCGCTGGGTGGAATTCGCATAGGCAGTGGACTACTTCTGTGTGGCCGGCGGCAGAAGCGAGCATGAGTGGTGTCTGATGGTTGTCATTCAGTGATGGTGTGATGTTATCGTCGTCATCGGTGGGGGTGTTATCGGCTGTTCTGGTTCGTTCGTGGCCGAGGGATATCAGCAATCGACATATTTGTAGATGGCCCAATGAGGCGGCGAGGTGGAGGTTGGAGTTGGACAGGCCGAAGCGTTCGTCTGGGTCGGGGTTGTGGAGGAGGTGAGGGTGGGATTTGAGGATGCGGGCGACGAGGAGGTGGTCATTGGAGCGGATTGCTCGGCGGAGGCGGATGGAGGGGTCGATCCTGGAGTTGAGGAGCTGTTAGTGGTGACTAGAGTTCAAAATGGTGGGTGGGGAGGGGCAAGAAGGTGTTAACATGAGAGACGAGGACAGGAAAGGGCACGTACATGGTCAGCTCGCGCTTTGGGCGTGGGCAGCTGTGGTGACTTGATGATCGTGGAGAGAGTCAGTGCGATGGTTGGTGGGGATGGAGTGACGTCGCAGATCGTGGCCCAAGCCTGGAACACAGCGCTTGGGCTTCCGCGCCGTCAAGTCCGAAATGCGGGGTGGCGCAGGTACCCCGCCATTAGCCTGCGCATGATCCCTGCAAGTTCAGCCCTACCACAACAACAAGAGACAACAGCAACGACATCAAGTGGTAGGTGGTACCATGTGCGAGGAGGGCGGAATAAACTATTTCTATAGGTATACCATGAGCCTATACTTGGGCATCGATATAGTCCAGGCTACTTCCACCAGCGAGGGAACCGGGTAGTTAACCCGAGTCGGTACATCCCGTCCACCACCAACGACAACCACCCAATCATCATGAACCACACAATCGCATATGCCAGCCTGAACCACTTGCGACTCGTAACAGACAGGCCCTCATCGATCAAGGCTCGACCATCCCTCTCTGCTCTTTCCATGCTCGGCGTCCACCAGAACGGTCCACGGACTTGAACCATGAAGGCCGCAACGAGGAGCAGCACACACCGAACAGCCAGTATGAATCTCAACTGCTTCCCGGTCATCCTGGCCCGCCGAGCCCCGGGCTTGCCATCTCTGCCGACTGCCGCATCGATGTTGACCAGCTCATGAAAGCCCAGGAAGACAATCGTTGCGAAACCCTAACCTACTGTTAGTGAAGAACCACACCGTGTTTCATTGAAATACGAGCCGCCTCACTAAGAGCAATCCCCAAATTAGCAACCCAACCGGGTCATCCAGGTGGTTTCCAACCTGTGAACGGTCTCCAAACACTTTCAAGGTAGCAGCCACGAGAGCATACCCAGATGCAAGTGTGACGAACTCTATCCCGTCCACCAGCCTGTCCTATTTCTCGGTGCCGGGGATGTATGACTGGACGATTGGTTTGACTTTGTTGAACTTGGCTTTGGGGCGTTGACGGGGCTGAATCTCCACGACGAAGTTACCGGGGTTGTGTTGGTAGGGTTGTCCAAAGTCTGCTAGTGGAATTGGGTCTTCCAGAGTCATGGGGGGATTAGCGCTGCTTAGGGTACTGGCGATGGTGGGTTGGGAGTCCATGATCAGTGAAGAATTATAGCGAGTGACAGGATCAAAGAATCAGGGGAGGCAAGGATAATATCACAGTAACGGGTTGGAGTATTTCACCGTACCTGCACATTACTTTCCGTTCGAACATCCGCGAAGCGTGGCTCTGGTGGCTGAACATGAACATGTGGCTGCCGTTCACAACCCACCTCGCGGTCACATGGCTTTGGCTTCGATCCGCATCCACACTTCAAACTCTTCTTTCGAGGCCATATATTTGAGCACTTCTTTTCCCTTTTCCAATCACACTTGCGAGGTGTCCTCTCTCATGTTATCGCAAACTAACAGTTTTCCATTCGCCACATCATTCGAAAATATGTCGTCCTCGCTAGCGCAGTTTTCCAAGCCCCCGACTGAGCTTCGATTGAAAATTTATCGATCAGTGTGGGAGCCCAGAACGGTCGTCCTCTCGTACGGCAAGCAAACAACACCTCCGATCACACTCTCCATCAACTATGAGGCGCGCCAAGAGACTCTTAAGCACTACCACCGCTATACCTGAAGTTCCTCAGAGCCAGCCTCAATCCTGACTGGAGGCTTTCTGCCTTCCCAATATACCGCCGTGGCTTTGTCAATCAACAACTGGACATTGTCTCCGTCGCCAATCCCAACATGTCTTTCCCGGAACCACGCGATTAACGAGACGTGCGACGGGAATTTCCGACACTCAATCAGCCATGCCTTCACATCACTCTAACCAAGTACGCCGATCTTGAATTGCTGCACAACCTTCAATCACTCATTTCCACCATCGACTTCCGGCCATTCATAACAGCGAGCGACCCCAACCCTTCGTTCTAGGTCTTTCGCCAGGGCTCGCATACATGCCTTTCGGCAACGAATACCTGCCTTTGGGGTACTATGTGCTACCAAGTAACTTGCCATTTTGCGGACGACGAACTAAGTTGGGGCCTGGGATCGGAGCTGGGTACTTAGCATATAGGGGGCCTTGATTACCTCCGGCTTTATTGCGATGATGTAAAGGATTGAAAGGCCTGAATGGGCTGGGGAAATTACTCCTTAAGGATTATTACGGTATACCTGTATCTAACCCTAGATAGCTTTCTACGAGGTTGCTGTTGCTATGTAGCGCTGGCTTTCGGTCATGAAACGTGACACACATATACACACAGAGCGAACCCAACCCTGCCCGATACCTTACCGCATTTGCCGGTTTTCTGCCTCGGTCCCCCGCTTACCCATGTAGCTAGGTGCGAGAATGCAGTTTTCCATTCATCCTCAGAAGAAGAGTGCAACATTCTGGATGAAGCACTAGGCAGTGCGGCGAGGTTGAGGAGAGGACCGCGGAGCACCTTATAGCAGGAAAGGAAGAGATGGGTGGGCAAGTGGATAGATTTAGGCTTCACTACCATGTTTCGTCCACCTCCTTCGCTGATGAGTGGTCTCGGGTCTTATCATCTTCGCACCGATAATCCCGACATTGATGAGCCCATCGGGGAGGTTGTGCATGCGCTGTGTCGATCAAACTTCATGTACGAGGGTCACTCTCATCGAGCCTCTGATTGGTTTCCCGAAGTGAGTGTCAAATTTGAATTATGAATTCTATTGTGCCACGGCTCGTAGGAATGAGCGTGTGTGTGATGAGAAATCGCGCCCATACTATGTCGAAGCAGGGTTTGACAACTGGCTTCAGGTGAAGAAAAGATATCATGATTCTGGTAGCTGAAATATCAGCGGGAAATTCAGAGGTCGGGGTTTTCGGTGGGTTGGCTATGACGGGAATTTGTTTTGCTGAATACGAGGCGAGTCAGGGGACCAGGTTGAGGACTCTTCGGGATGGACGCAGGTTATTGAAGATCAAGAGCCGAGCTTCTTGAAGAAACATGTCATGAAAAAGATGCGCTACATACTCCAGCTGATCAGACACCCTGGGTTCATCAGGATGCAGTGACTCCCATTTAAAACATCAATAACAACATAAGGTAAGGATGGCTTCGACGTATGAGCGACGGCTGAACCATCTAACATGCTATCTAGGTAGTCAAAGCCATGAGAACGTGAGGCCCCTGAAGCACCTTGTCAGACCTTCGTCTGCTTGGGCCTTTCCTCGGACATGTCCGTTTCCTGGCGTGGTCTGGACTGCAACCACTCCTTCTCACAACTCTCACAGCGCCCTGGCGATTCTGGCAAATCATATAAATGTCTGAAAGACGGGTACAAATCCTTCAAATGTGGCCGTTTCTCAGGCTTCACTTCCAGCATCTCCCCAATGATGGGCAAGATCTTCAGCACAGGTTCGATTAGCTTCGGCATCACACTTTTGTCGGTATTGCTTTGGCGTGCTCGTAGGACCTGGAAGTAGTCTTCAAGTTTGGCACCGCCAGCGAGCGCGCTCCGGTAAGTAAACCAATGGGGTTCTTCAAGCCCGGCGTTATGAGATTGCAGGCCTAGCCATTCTCTAGGATTATCCCGTGGCAACCCTAGCAAGACAGATGTCATTTCGAAGAATATGCAACCGAGTGAGTAGACGAGGCCCGGGAGGGTAAGCGAGTCGGGATGATCCATGGAAGACTCGTCAGTTTCTGGGGGAATGTAGGGGGTCTTGTACTTGGTGAGTCTGCCAGCGGGTTCTGTTGGTGTCTCGAAGTGGCGGGTCAAGCCTATGGTTCCAATGACCGGGAGCCCAAAGTCGTCGATGAGAATCTTGCGGAGGTTGATATCTGAATATTGTATCCCGATGCCAGAGTTCCAAAGGTAGAGCATTGCTCGAGTTAGGCAACCGAAATAACTGCAAAGATAAGCTCCCATCCAGGTGTTGTCGGATTTCCTGGTCGAATCTTCCCCAGTCTGACTGTCGTGGAAGTCCTCTAACAAGACCTGCAAGTTTGTTTGTGCGGGTGGGTAGACGGCCACGCCGAATATGTGCTTCTTGATTACCTGCGACGTCGATAGTGTGCTGATTTCCTGTTTCCGGCCCCGCCGCTGGCGTACCTGCCTTGTGCTCAGACAATAGTCCTCGAATGAAGCCACGTACACAACGACATGTGGATGTTGAATCCCTGATAGCTTGCTGAGCGCTTGCAAAGTCGATCGACGAGCTGTTGAGTCTGGTCCAGGCGGACGGTCATGAGAACGACAGACAATCACTTTTAGGGCCAGGGACCGCGGATAGGTGACATCAACGGGAGCTTTAACACGATATGTGATCGTGGATCCTGAGTCTCCCAGGGCTTCCCCCTCCTGAAGGAAGGGAAAGGGCGGCTTAAGGTATTCTTGACCCCGATGGTGAAACACCTTGTGAGTCGTCAGGTTTAGACCAGCTTGGCGCACGGGTTCCACCCATGCATGCTCGGTTTCCCAACCAGCGGAATCCCACTCAAACTTGTCTCTATCATGCGACTCCAAAAACTCCTTTAGAGTCATCTGCTGTTCGTTCAAGTAGTCAACCGAGCCACGTTCCCAAAAATCGGACCCGCTGTAAGAACGCGGCCTTGTGGCCTCTCGGGGGCGGACATCATCTGGAGAAGCCTCGAATCGTGGTGAGGACCTGGCCATTGTCGTTTTGTCACCAATCGCTCTTTCCGAACTGGGAACGGTTGCTGCTCCAGGGCCGGGGTGCGCTTCTTCGTAGGTGCGAAGGTCAGGCCGGGTGTCCTGAAACTCCAGCGGCCCTTGGTCATCTGGCAAGTTGCTCAATACCCGGGTGTTAAAATCCTCGAATGATCTATCTGCGGCGACAAAACGACCGGTTTTACGGTGAACCGGTTCATTGGAGTGGTCTGGATAAAAGCTCTTGCTATACACCGATCCGAGAACAGGAGGTAGGGATTCCGACGGAAAGGCCGGGTTAGAAGACAAGCCCTCATCATCAGATTGGGCATTGGTGCGAACGTCCGAAGGGATATCCTCAAACTGTAGTGGCCCTTCATCGTCCGGAGTGTCACCGAACAGCCGATTATCAGAACCCTCCTCCGTCGAACCATTCTGTCCACTAGCCGCTTGATCTGAGTCAACGGAGATATTATCATCATCGATGTATCTTATTGATAGGAAAGCCAACGACTTCAGGTGTTGGGCAACGTGTTTAACCATCTTTGCGTAGTCCACAAAACTCGGCCTGTTATCACCCGGTGACTTCGGCGAGTCATGCTGTTGTGTGTCGTTTCCGCCAAACGAATATTCGACATCCTCGTTTTCTGCTGCTTGCTTTCCCTTGGACGGGGCCTGTGTGATTCTAGATTGCAACTCATAGACCGCAAGAACATCCTGATTGCAAAGCGGGCAGATATTGGCGTTCCGGGTAACACGCAAGATATTGCGTGTTACTTTTCTCACGACCCTGGACTCGGTCATGGCGCTGTGTCTTGTCTTGATGTGCTCTCTCAATTTGTCCCCCGTGGGAAACTCGGCATACTCGCCGGGTTCAACATCACAATACCACACCGTGTTGTGAATCTTTTGTGCCCATTCCTTTGAATGGGCCTCCTCCATATGCTCACGCCACTCGGAGAGCTTGGAGAAGTATCTTAAATTGTCGATGCACTCCTCGGAAATGCAGACGTAAGGTTCGAGATCATGTTGAAAATGAGCTCTAGCTGTTAGGTTAACGCTGTCTACCTGTCTACCCCAAAATGGAATGACAAAACTTACCTCCACCATCCGTGTTTTTCCAAGTCGGAAGTTTTCAGTTCGCGCGCGCACCACTGGCATTTACAGAAGCCGAGACCGTTCTCTATTTTTGGCCGTGGGGGATACGAGTAGCCTTGGCCAAACAAGCTAACTGTGGCATTGTCCAAGACTGAAGCAGGTTTTGAAATCTCCTTCTGAAATCTGGATTGATCTAGTACCGACGGGCTGGTTTGAGATGTGGCATATATTGGCTGGTGAAATGGGGAGCTGCTTGAGCGATGGTGCGCTTGGGACGCAGGCACCGGAATTCGCACTCGAATATCTGCTTTGGACTGGTTGGGTTCTGAATTAGGACCGACAGATGGGAGATATTGGCGAGGGGTAGCGAGCTTTTGGTGATGTCTCCTAACATACAGAAGTTTGAGTCGTCGAAATGTTATGGATGAAGCTAGCTGTTCTGCAAGAGATTCTGATACTCCATCCAATCTTCCCTTGACAAAGAGCAAGGCGATCCTTTCGAATTCAGATATCTCTTCTGGGTCCACTTTGAGAGCGTATGCTTTGACTCTAGATGCCCAGCTTCCCATGGATGATTGGCGAATGATGGAAGCTAGACGCTGAAGCCTCTCGATGGCTTCGTGGATGGCGTCGAGTGCAGCGGCGGCGACCGGCTCTGGAAGAGCTTGATTCGAATGATTCAAGATTAACGATGGATTGAACCGGGCTAGGTTGGATTGCAACAGTTGGAGGAGTCGAAGAACCAGATTGTGGACTTGTGGATGGTCTCTAAGTCGAGCATCTAGCGACGCCTCAGGTTGAGCAAAAACCCCAACGAAGGCAGTCCAAAGCTGAAAACGCTGGTGGTACTCCCGAATAATGTGGTAGTTCTTCGCCTCCACGGGCTCATTATCGACTGTTTCGTCCGTTAGGAGCCTCCGGAAAAGACTTTCACAATCTCGAGCTCGCTCATAAATTTGGTTATCATTGACCAGGATGGCGGTTGAAGTTGACATCTTGAAAGTACGTGTCGAGATGTTCACGGAGAGGAACTGGTGTTGTTGGTGGCATGTGGTCGTTGCGCAGATGGTTTTTTTGATTGGGTGCATGTTATACCGGTCAATCTGTCTTCTGAAATGACAAAGAATGCCTGGGAAAGAAGACTTAAATGAAGACTGCCTTAACCCTAATTGGGCCGAACGAATAGTGGTCGTAGCACACTGATAAACCTGCCTGGAAGTCGTCAGCGATACGCGCCTGACACCCAACCCCGCATCACACACCCCCGCTTTTGAATACATGCATGTCAGAAAGCAGATCAGTCATTCCATGGCTACTTGGGTGTTTCATCTAGCATATGGGCACCTCTACACGGTAACTTCGAGCTCACCGTCACGAGGTTGAAAAGGCCGCGACCCTATGATGGACAGACAATACTTCAACACCATCCCCGAAGAACGGCAGAGATTTGACAGCAGCATTCAAGAGAGACGGATTCTTGACGTCGTTCAGCCTCTCTTTGCAACTAATCTTCCTTGGAAGTTGGAGGCAGATAGCGACCACGGCAATGGCCTTGCGGAGGAGATCAACGCCCAAACAGCAAAGGAGATGTTTTTACACGAACTGGTCACTGCGGGCCTTTATTTGAGAGAGCTAAACAGTGCTCTGTCGGTTCGGTCTTTCCGACTATGCCTAGAAACATCATCCGATCTCCTCGCCTTCTTAGAGACACTGGTATGTAACGATATCCTGGGCCAACCGCGGCCTGGCGACACTTCCGGCGTGGATAATACACCTGGTATCCACAAAGACAAGCCTCCTGAGAATGAGCCTGTGCAAGTGGTTGGCGTTCCACTTGTACTTGACTTGGTTGCCAAATGGCTGTTTCAAATACCCGAGCCGAAGCCTACTGCACTTGGACGGACCGAACAACCCACTGTGCGCCCCCATGATGACATCGGGGCGCTCCAAGATCTTTGCGATGTCGAAAAATATCCAAAACTCGAAATGCTTGGAAGAATTCTCCAGGAGTCAGGCGACAGGGCTTGCCACAAGCTTATTAATTTCCACCAGAGGATGGCCAACTTCCAGGAGGGGGTACGCAAGGCTTGGCATCTCAACAAATGTCTCGCAAACCTCAGGAAGATGGCACCAACTAAGCGTTTTCGACCACCTGCTGCACAACGGATTCCCCGAACAAAGTGGGAGAACACGATACCGCGCGACCTCTCGAGTCGCCTTTTCGAGAAGCTATACAGTAGCGTTTGTCAGAATCAGGATCACCAGGTCAAGCTTCAGTTGAATGGATTTGACATGGATAGTTTCCTGGCGCCGCCAATACATTTTAACTTGTTCCTCCCTTCCTGCCCTACCAACGACCTTTGGCAGGAATGTCAGTGTAGGGCCATTGTGCCAAGGTAGGTATTTACCATTGCCAATGTCAGGCTGCCCTTGTGTGTTGCATGCACTGATACCTTTTGCAAAACAGGAAGGTCAACAGCTTACCCGAAGACGTGGAAATGATTGTCGATCTCTGCGAAGACATTCGGGCCCTTAATGAGAACCACCACCTGCCAACAGTTTTGGCCATCCATTTTGAGGTTGTTGAGCCCGGTCATCGATACTACCTTTGGCACGACCCCAAGTATCAGCTTGATACGCCGCAGCACTTTCAAGATGCCAAGCCAACAATATCTCTGGACTATCTGATTTGCAGCGGCTTCCTTACCGACATACCAGAAGGAGGCGTCTTCGGGATGAACGACAAGGCCGTTCTAGCATTGTCTCTTTCTAGGTGCTTTCTCCATCTGTGGGGTACCAATTGGCTCAAAGACCCTTGGACGGCGGGCAATATACATTTCCTTGCACGGTCCGATGAGATCTGGAATCCTCACCATCCCTTCATTCACTGCTCCCTCGACAATTCCTCGCCCACATCTTCAATTCAGGCTACGATTTCGCTTTTTTCCTTCGCAAAGCTCCTCCTCGAGATTGAAACTGGCACACGCATTGACGTTGACCCCTCCTCAGTAACCCAGGATGAGTTCGAGGACACAATTGTGAGCATTCTTGATTCCAGAGGTGATAGATTTGGAAGAAGAGAGTACAACGCCGCGGTAGATGGATGTTTTCATATATTCGCATTAGTTAACAAACAGAGCAACGAAGCAGGCGGTGTGATGGACGAACTGGATATGATGAGAAAGGCCATTTACGACGCGATTGTCGAGCCACTTGAGCAAAATTTCAATCTCATTCCAAACCCGAGCAAAGCGCTTTATGTGAAGAAGCTTCATTTGGAGCGAAAGAGAGGGACGTATGGAGTGGCGACGTTCCAGCCGGAATATCACCAACCCACAAGGAAACGTGGTTCAACAGACTCGACGATGTTCTTTGATGGTGAGATCGTACGCACGGTCGATGAGTATGTACCTCTTTACTATCTCCTTGCTAACCCCCCGTTTCCTACCGAACCTGTGCGCTTGGACTATCTCGACGGCATGCCTTTCAATCTCGCAAGGCTATTCCCGCTGTCCTCACAATTACAATACAAGCTAAACCTTTGAGTGCAGGCGGGTTGACCGAGCCGCGAAATTCTTCGATTCCATGGACCGATTCCATGCCCAGTTCATACAACCGAGGATCACAAAGAGCAATGGACTACGGCCTGTTAAGATTGCGATATTAGACACCGGGATTGAAGTTGATAATAGCAGCCTTCAAGGTGTGTTGGATAACATCAAGGATTCGAGAAAAGCTTCTGGCTTTCGGGATTGGAGAAGAGGTTCAATCCGCGCAGTTCAATCATTCGTCACATCTCCAGGAGACGAAAGGGATGTAGTAGGCCACGGCACACATGTAGCGTGGCTTGCTCTCAAGACAGCCCTCAACGTTGAAGTATACATCGCGAAGGTCTCCGCCGGCAAACAGTTCGATGACAACACAGCCGTGGTGAAAGCAATCGATTGGGCCATGGATCAAGAGGTGGACATTATGGTCATGTCGTTCGGCTCTGCATACATAGATAAGCGGGTGAGCGACGCCATTGACCGTGCTGTAACCACTCGACCGCACCCAACACTTGTCTTTGCGGCGGCGTCAAACTCGGGGCTCAACAGCCGGCCATCGTTTCCTGCCACCCACGACAAGGTTATTGGTGTATATGCCTTGGATGGATACGGAAACGATAACGGGGGCTTGAACCCGTCTCGACAACCAGGAGGCACTTATTTTGGCACATTAGGTGTCGGAATAGAGATGCTGTGGAACAACAAAAAGGAGGCCCGATCCGGAAGCTCATATGCTGCGCCAATAGCCGCTGGTATCGCCGCGAATTGTCTGGTTTGGCTGGAACACATGCTTAAGAAGGGGTACTTCAGCCAGGACCAGTACACGTGGCTAAGGACGATTGAGGGGATGCGTTATATGCTCAGGAAGCAGGCTATGGGCTCTAACGGCGATAGAGTGGGGATACTATCATTGGCTCCATGGGTACTATGGAGGCGCGATCTTACTGATGTAGAGGTGTGTACCATTTTGAAGGAAGGCATGCCGCTTTTTCGATAGCCCCATGGGACTTTTAGAATCGTTGAAACACAAGGTAATGAAGGGGAGCGGGGTTTCTCCGTTGTTACGGTAAGGTATTTAAGCTGCGCTTAATCGATCAAAGTCTGAGGCGGGTTAATGGAAGGTGCTTCATTGTGGAACAAGTCATATGAAGACCTGGAACATGTTGAAGCGATCAGTTCATTGCGCAGGGATACCGCAGAAAGACACGAGAACCTACAAACAATATTGTATCAAAGTGTCGATGTATCGGGCAGAACCTTACTTATCAGTCCTCAAACTCCCTAGCAACCGCCCACTGAACCCCATCCGAATCCTCAAGAACCTCAACCTCATCCTCCTCACCCACAAAATCATCCACCGACTCCACCTTCCACTCTTGCACATCCTCCCTCTCATCACCCAACATACTCGTCCCCTTCAAACTCAACTCATGTTGCATCCTCCCCCTCGCAAACTTAATCCTCCTCACCTGAAACGCCAGAACAAACTCGCTCGCTGTATCAAAAGCGACACCCTGGAGTCTATTCCTCCCAATTTGCAGCAACGGCTTCACCTCCGCCACCCCCTCCGGCCCCGACACCCCCACTCGCGCATCTACCTCCAGTGTCCTCTCCAACGACACCGACGCCCCCCTGGCAATCTTGACACCAGTAACGATATACACCGGCACGCGGTATTTTCTCTCCGTCAAATACCCCTTTACATCATCCTGCTCCGATACCCGCTGTATATACTCCTCCGTCGCGACAAACTCTCCTGTTTCGAGCTCGGGGACTTGTATCACGTCGTTGGAGCCGCGCTCGAGAAATAAACCGAGGTCGGCGCCCATCGGGAGGTTGAGGCCGGCGAGGAGGGTGGTCCAGAGGCCGAAACGGCCGGTGAGGAGGTCTTTCCGCATGGAGGAGAAGGAAGTTACTGTTGTTGGGGGTAGCAGGTCGTCGGGGTTGATGGGGAGTCGCGATTTTCGGTTTAGGGGTATCAAGTCCGGGCTGAGGGGGTCGGGGAGGATGTCGCCGAGGCGGAGGGAGGAGGGGGAGGTGGTGAAGTTGGGGGCTAAGATGTAGGTTTTCTTTGCCATTGGTGCGGTGGGAATGGTGATGGTGAGCGAAAGTTGGTTGGAATGGAGGTGGTAAGGGGGGGCGGTAGAGCGTTTGTTGTGAGGAGTCTTGACGGTGAAATCGTTTGGTGCGGGGTGTTTTCTCGTCAGCTTTGGGGCTTACACCAATGGCGCTGTATGCCGAGCCTGGGTGAGCTTCAGGTCCAGCTTCGCGACAAGTCATGGTCGGGGATGGATGAATGGCCAGTAATTGACTGCTAGCCATTCTTGACCTGAACGATGTAGGTACTCATTATCCCCTCAGCTGAGTACCGAGGCAAACCAGACCAGGCGATCATATTTGCGTGCTTATTTCATAATACACGGGAGAGTTGGTCTTGGCTCCTAAAGGCTAAGGCAGCGGACGGCTGTTACACCGAGCTTGCTGTAATACTGCTTATTTTCGATATTAGCCTCGGACTTGTGGTTTCAAGTTGTTACCTCCTGTGTTACTGTCGTTAGATACTCGCCATGCTCGGATAATTGCGCTTATGATCAAGATGAGTGATCATCTCTCCGAGATCATCATGGTGATCGCTGTTTTGGCAAAGAGATACCGTCTACGGCGACACCGTGTGGCTTGCAGTCTTACACCAAGAACTAGAGAAGATTTCGAAGCCATCAAAAATAGCAAAAGATCAGAATATAGAGAGAATGGAGATAACGATGCTGTCAAAGCAAAGTATAAAGACTCATGGTTCTCCATCCCATCCTTTCGTCTCTCATCATCACCACCAGCTCATTCACCAACCCAGCTTTGACAACCACTTCTCAAGACACCCCAAGACAACCGCTTCAACCAATCTCAAAATGAAGTTCTTCACCACCCTCCTCTCCATGGTAACCCTCACCTCCGCCGCCGCAGTAAACTACGATTTCTACGCCCCTGTCGACGCCCTCGCCAAACGTGAAGCCGCCGCAGCCCTCAGCTTCGACCCTGCCCACGACCCCCTCTCCGCCCGCGGTGACGAAGACGTCAACATCATCACCGCTTCTCTCGACGACGGAGCCGAAAAGGTTGAAATCATCGTCGACGGTGTTTCCCAGGGGTATCTGATCGTCAGCCCCGATGGCGATGGTAACCCCACCCCTTTTTACCCCCTTAAACTTCCAAATGAAACTAACCCATCCCTCCCACAGTCCAAGGCTTCGACGGCAACGGCACCTTGGTCGACCTCGACGCCGTCCTCGCCGCTCGTGACGTCGAGCACGTTGACAAGCGTGCTCTTGGCTGGCTCCAGGTTCTGGCTAGACTTGCTCCCATCATCACAAAGTTTGGCCAACGGGTTGTCAACTGGTTGAGGTGTGTTGGTGCTTGGAGTTTGATTTTGGATTGTGCTCCCAAGGTACGAACCCCCGGTGGTGTACGTTGAGATGTGATGGCTGACAGTTTGGATTTTTACCTAGCTCATCAACTGCGCTACTTATGGCAAGGCACCTTGGGAGTGCATTGCTGGGATTAACTGCATTGGAAAGGCTGCTAGGAACTGCTAAACAGACTGTCGAGGTTGCTCTGGAGGGAGACTGAGATTTGTGGGCGAGGTGTTATGAGGTGTTTGCTTGGATGGTTGGACTGCGTGGTTTTGTTAGTTGTCTTTGGCTTCGCTGTGTGTTTAAGATATGATATTCTTCAGGCAGGTGGTGCGGTGGCCTGGTCAAGACATGTCAGCTGAGTGAGTTGAAAACAGTTTATCGTTGTGATGCCATACCGGTCCTTCATCTTGTGAGCTGGGCTGCCCAATCAGAGCTTTTCCCCTCTTGTGACTGAGACCTTTTCATTGGGGAAGAGCACAGCCACATCTCGATCGTGAGCGTTAGCCCCGTATTCAGGGGCTAGTAAGCAGGGGTAATGTTTCCCCGCTGGAACATAGATATTCTTTGAAGAAGGCTTGTCACTTTGAAAGCTTTCCACATCCTCAAAAAAACAAAGCAAGATCACTTCAGAAGACATCATGAAGAAGCTATTCCGAAAGCTCAAAGACAAAAAACCCACTGGCAATGACCAGGGTCTCTCGGAGACAACCTCTCTCCGGGAAGCTCTCCCCTCCATTGCTCAAGACATCACACCGCCTGCTCCCATCCAAACTCCGGTTGCTCAACCATCACCCCCTACAACTACAGCACCACCCATAGAAGTCCTCCCATCAAGCAACATCTGTCAAATCTGCTTCCACCTCGACGCAACACACGCCCCTAGAGATGGCAACCTCAACACCAAAGACCCTTCCTGGGCCGAACTTGAGTACAATCTCCCACCGGACACACATGCCGCCAAACTTGTCCCCAAATCAGAGGATCTCATCAATTCGGCAAACGGCGGCTGCATGCACTGTTTCATCGTGCGCACAGCGTTGAATGCCATCCATCCAGGCTGGGAGAATGAAAAGACCATCCTCCACGTTTTCCTGGCGCCTGGTGTGCCCGTGGTGGTGCGACTAGAGTTCGGAAGCTTGATCACGACGCATATGAGCCGGGAGGAAGCGTTGCAGACTTATGGCTTTGATGTCCCGGTCAAGTTCACGGTCATTGTTCGTGATCCTGAGAAGCCCAGTGTTGATGTCGAGATTTATCGACCACTGTCGCCAAGCCCCTCTGGAGGCTCTGGCACCCCTGGACCAGGTAAATACCCCTCTTCCCCGTATTGTCAGAAGCTTTATCTGTTCTGTTTGCCGATTCGTCGTGTGTTAGGCTTCGACTTGTCATCCCTTGTACGGCACGTCGGCTTCGGCGAGGAGATCCCACAGTGTGCCGGTAATGAGGACTCGTTAAATTTCATCAACCAACGAGTGAACGAGTGCATCACATCCCATAGCTGTGAAGGCAACAACAAGCTGCTTCCACAGTTGCCTAGCCGGGTGATCTGGGTTCAGGCGCACACGCCGAGCCGTATTCAGCTTGTTGAGCCCACTGGAATCCGCGCCAAGTACATAGCTCTCAGTTACTGCTGGGGTTCCGTCTCGCCAGATACCTATCTCACTGATGCACGCAACCTGGAGTCAAGGAAAGCGGGGATCAACTACGATGAGCTTCCGCCGCTTCTGCAAGACGTTGTAACGTGTGTCCGCGCCCTCGGGATCGAGTATCTGTGGGTTGACCGGCTGTGTATCGTCCAAGGCGATGGTGGTGACTTTTCCACGCAGGCACCCAAGATGGGTGACATTTACGGGGATGCCACACTCACCATCGCAGCCGCCTCTGGGGAGTCTGAAAATGATCGCATTCTTCTTGAAAGAGACACCAAGGCCGGCCCGTTCTCGCTTGACCTAAAGCTCAAGGGCATGGGTACGCTAACGCTGAAGGTCCGTCAACGAACGCACAAGATTGAAACCGAATATGTGGGAGGAGACTATGGTCGGGTTTCAACACGGGCCTGGATCTGGCAGGAACGTCTTCTCTCGTCTCGCACCGTGTTCTTCACCCCCCGTGCTCTCAAGTTTGAATGCCATCACCACTCGGTTTGGCAAGGTTATGCCCCTGGCGTTGTTGGAAACTCGTGGTCAACACACGTCGAGTTGGCCTCCAGCTCACACAACGCATGGCTACGGTTGCTCATCGAGTTTATGAAGCGCAACATTACCAACGCATCGGACCGGCTGCCCGCCATCGAGTCCGTCATGAAGCGAATCGCAGTCAACACCGGTTGGAGCCCTTTTTGGGGCGTCTTCGAGGAGAAGCTTGTCGAAAGCCTTGGCTGGAGCGCCATAGACCTGAAAACATCTTCGGGGCAGGCTAGCTGCCGTATGAATCCTGGACACTATGCTCCGACGTGGAGTTGGGCGAGCGTTGATGGTGAGATTACGTATATCCATGTGTTGACCGACCAGCACTACGCGCCCTTGCACCAGGTTGATCCCCTCATGTACGAACTGCAATGTCGAGATCTTGATCGTGCCACTGGCGCTATTACAATGATCGGAAGCTATCTCATTGGCGGCATTCGATGTACCATCGAGCCGAACGCATCGTACAGCGAAGAGAGTGAGATGACCCGTGAGGTGGGCAAGTACCGCTACACCCACAACGTCCGGGTATCTGGACAGCATCCGGACTTCCTCTTCAATCCTGATGTCCCATTGATGTCGGTGGAGGGTGACCCAAATCAGCCATACTCGGGCTCGGCGGTAAGAGCGCCGTACGGGGTCAACAATGCAACAGAGGAATGGACCGGAAATTGTTTGGTCTTGTTGGTTGCGAGACGAAACAAAAGGTCACTGGCTCTTCTGCTGGGAGCTTCGCTGAGAGATATCGATGGAGCGGCGTGGGAACGTATTGGACTATCCACCTCGATTGATGTGTCTGTCTGGGACGAGGAACATGTCAAGACGGGGCCAGTTAGGGTTGTATGAGTGTGACGGAGAGGGCTCTGTACAACGAACTGCATTCGGCTGGCTTCTTCTGGGGTGCTCGTACTGGCCGATTTGTGAGTCATCTACAAATGATCAACATCAAGTACTGGAAAAGGTGGACTCACCAAAACAATGACCCGATTGTGATTTGCAACTGAGCCGCGGATAAGTCAACGGAGGTGGTTTATAAGAGAGTGCCTCCGGAAACAAAACAACGAGAGATTTTAGTGAAATGGCGGAATCCAGCAGAGCGGGGTAGGTAGAGTGTAATAAGGCAGGCAGGGCAGGAGCAACATTGACAATAGAAGCATGACGCAACGAAGAGCCGCTGCAGCCTTGACATGCTGCCTGCCTTGTGAACTACTACTCTGGCACGTAATGACTGGTCTTTTTCTGCCCACTGTCTGACAGTAACTCGCGACCTGGAGCGAAAGCTGAGGAGTGAACTTGAAGGACCAGTGCCCAACACCAAACAACACCTTCTTCCCCTCGCGTTTGCCCTTCACCCAACTTTCCCCCGCCAACACGCCGCTTCGAGACAACTACGTCCAGCAAACAACATGATATCTCCGGTTCAGGCACCATCTCAAGCCCATGGCATCGGTCTTCGCCGTCTGCCCACTGAGCTTCGGTACCAGATCTACCGTCCGGTTTGGGAGCCGCGGGTCATCTTTCTGGGAGACAAAACATGCTACGAGTTCCCTGACAACCTGCCTGGTAGATCGCGATGCGACACACAAAGGCCACCAGTTACATTCCACATCAGCTACGAGGCCGGAGAGGAAACGCTGAGACACTATCACAAGTATTTCATCATCGCGCATGATCCGTCTAGAAGGCTCAAGTTGTATGGATATGTTAATCCGCACCTCGACATTCTACATTTTGACCAATCCATAACTCCCGAACACTGGTCTTCGTATTTGTTCCAGGACCTCGAACTTCCTCTCAACTTTCGAATCGAACCCCCTATTACTCGCCCCATCCTCCGCCTCTCGCTCAGTCCCAGCGTCCCTGCCCGTGACAAGAAGAAAAAGCCAACGAATATGCTACGTTCAGGAAACTCTTTGACCCTTGGTAGGTAGTTTAAAGCGTTTGCAGCCTGAAGCTTAATGTTTGACTTTGAGTTGCTAGTTAGACTTTAGAAATCATAAAGAAAAGAGACAACTGTTTTGCCTCAGTTGACTCACATTGATAGTTTGCGTTGTGCCTTTCATTGGCACTCTGACCTTCATGAGTCAACATTAGACTTCACTTGGTTTTATAAACCAGCTCTTCCCGCTGCCATCGTGTCATTCATATAACCTTCTATTTGCATATATGTCATATTTCCGCATTTGAACCATGCTACCGCGAAGGAACTCAAACCACCAGCGACCGGTGCTCTCTCAGCAATTAGACCTCACGGGACAGTCTGGCCTGCCGTCTGGTTTCAGGTTTCGTTCCCTACCAGTTGAGTTGAGATTGCAGGTTTATCGAGAAGCATGGAAGTCTACCATCATCCTGGTGTCGTTCCACGGATGTTGGCAGCCGCTTCAAGTTATGAAAAGGGGCAAAATGCCTGCCACCTTACATCTATGCTTGGAAGCAAGGCAAGAAACTCTGAAATATTATCATCTGTACAAAGCATCAGCAGCAAAACTCGTTGCCCCGAAGATTTCTTTTACTCAATGTGGCTACATTAACCCAAATCTCGACATCATACATCTCGACGTTCCCTTTGGATCAGGCCCTGTGGAAGGGCACATTCAGATTGAAAGACTTAGTCCGGCTACCCTGAGATTGACATTGGGCCGTGCCCTAGTACCAAGTGCAGTACTGAAGTGGTTTGCTGAGAAACCCCAGCTGTTCGCGGGGCTTAAGACCATTGATTTCTGGGTCTGGACCCCGTCTCGAATGTTTGAAAACGGAGTTACGGAACGATACCGAATCTGCCGTGTCCCGCCCTCAACACCACTTACTCCGGTGGTTCATCGAAAAAACATCGTTTACAAGCCAGCAGCAGTCGATAGTCGCTTGTGCCCAAATTCCCACTGTCAGACGCCAATCTGGCACTGGAAATACGACCCTGAAGCCAGCTATTGTGTCGCCTCTACTGGCCCTTATATCATCTCGCAGCGCCCCTTTGTTCGCGGAGAGGAAATTAAGCTTCCTGATCCAGACGGCTCTGCCAGGGTTGTGATGCCCTCCATCAGCTTTGATTGGAAAGCCACCCGCGCCCGAGCTTTGTTGCGGGAGACAGACGTGCTCCTCTTTGACCCGGGCGATGGGATGAAGAGGCGTGAATGGGTCATTTGCAAGGTTGTTGATCCATCCGAAATACCCAACAAACTCGTTATACAGCTGGGCGCCCGATACCTGCTATATTTGGACTGGGATTTGGCCCACTACGCGACACTTCTTCAACAACGGGAGATCACAGCCCTAATGGAACAACATCCTGATACAAGTCAATTTCTGACCGAGATGCTTCCTATGTTGGACCATTTGAGCATAACTAGGTACTCCAGGTCCCCGCCGCTTGGTCCAGATTGGTATTACACTAAGTACCGTGACTGGGAGGGTTGTAAAGATGTTGCGCATGGTGTCTGCGGTCCTGGGTGGTTGTATGCGGCAGGCCAGAGCTTCCCTTTACAGGGTCTGCATCAAAGCGGTGTGGAAGAGCTTTATCCAAAAGCAAGGGAGAACAGGATCCGCAAGGTGATGAAATCCCGGGAAGTTATTGACAACGGAGGAAAGGGATGCCAGATTTGTCAAGGGTTTCTACCAATTAACTCACCTGGAAGACCTTGTCAGATGTGCTGGGAAATTGTTCCATCAGTGCGAAGCTGGGAAACTGAATGGTCAACTTGGAAATGGGCACCTTTGTGAATTGTACTGTCCTTACTCCATTGACGGCGTGTGGAGACAAGCTATCGAAGAAGCTTACTTCTTAAGAGCTGACGAGTTTGGATCGGATAATACGTCAGATACCAACTCTGAGGCTGGAGGATGAGCCTTGACCTGCTTGAAGGGACAGAGCCTTTAACTAAAAGTGTAGCGCGGAGAGAGTGGCAGAAATCATCTACTTTAACTATCCTGAATCTGTTTAAGCGTGGCGTTGACTCCAAAATAGTGAGGTACTGACGAGGCACGCATTTCCTTTCGTTGTGCAGCTTATAGTGACAGGATCCCGCCGTCTGGAAACCCAAAACAGTCTATACGAACCAGCGTTGACATATCTGCTTTTTTGCATAAGCTTGTGGGCGTGAAGAAGACAAATTAGGATAACATTGCATGGCGGAAGTAACACCAAACTATATCCAAGACTGATGTTAAATGACAGCTGTGCCAACGACTGGAACACAACCACATATTTACCCCTCACGCCCCCGACCAATCTCTTGTCAATGACCGACAAGCATTTATCCTGCACGTCTCCGCCTCCAAGATCACATTCCTCTTTTACTCTATCGCTCACGTTTCGTAGGTTTGTAGGCATTGTCATAAAGGCCCCGTCTAACTGATAATCGGGCGAACAGATTCCGTCCACCACCTTGTGAAATGGCAACGAGCCCCCGGCGCGGTCCTGATGGTCTGATCCATTCATCCCAAAAAGGCTCGTGAGGAAGGGGAGAACCGCTTCGACAAAACCATCGCTGTAACGAGGCCCATGATCAGTTCTGGATTCATCGGTCAACTCTGAAAGAGGCTTCTGGCATCCAAACGATCAAGCGCCCTGGTGATAACTACTCCAGCCCAGACGTCTGGTGGTCTGACTTCAAGCAGAGACCACTCACGATCGGCTACACCAGGATCAGCGTCGAACAATAACACCTTGACTCTATGGAGAACTTCCCGCGCTCTCACTTCGCTCCAATGCGCAACTGCACAGGATATCCTTAATTCCGAACCAGGAATAGGCCTTGGGTCGGACTCCCCGTGGTTGGTGCGCTTGGCCATTCGTGGTTTGTTTGTTGCTGCATTGTATTGCCACTTCCTCTCCGATGTTGGATTGCGGCAATAGCTTCTACAGCATTGGTCCATCTTGTCGTGTGTCTCCTCAGGATACAAGACGGTATCTTGGTAAGTGACGAGTCGAGTTTTGGGTGCATCGGCTGTGCGACAAAGACGGTATCGGGAGGCAAATGAGTCCTTAACATGGTGCTCTGCGGCCCAGAAGTCAATGGTACCAACACGATCTAGGAAGTCGGACGCTCTGGCAGCATGGTTCATAAACCCAGAAGATTCATATTTTGTCCGAAAGCGATATGTAAAGAATATCGAGGGATAGAAGGTCAGATATCGAGGTCTAATTCGTAGTAGCCCAAATTGTCGATGAAAAGGACGTCGACATGTGGATTGATGTATCGGTGTATGATTCTTACGTGTGGCTCCCCTTGAGATCCGTCTGGTCACAATACTTCGCTCCGAAATTCAGGCAGGCAATCTACCTCCAGAATTCCAGTTTAAATACCCCTCCTGAACTCCCGTTTGGATCACAGTACTAGTAAACCCAACCTAGCCCCAATCTCATATCAAGGTGTGGTTCCATTCACGTATTTCGCTAGGTAATTTTCATGAAACTCGACGATAACCGAGAACTCTGCCACGATGATTTACTGCAATGAAATTCAATCGTACCTTCACGAAGGAGACTTCGAAAACGCCTTGACGTTGTGCATGAGGGCTTTAAGGTCGAATGAGCAGATACCGCTCGCTGATCGGGCTCGAATCGAGATCCAAATCGCCGCCACATATCTCTTGACAGGAACTCACGCCGACTACCTGGATGCAATAGCAAGACTGGAGAGAATGAAGCAAGAACGCCAACTTCCCGAAGCTCAAGATACAGATGCTGAGTCGATTCAACCTGAAATCTCCCTATGGCTTGGGAGATCTTACATGCAAGCCGGTCGATATGATGCTGCCGGACTCAAGCTATCACAGGCTTTACCAGGGAGTTCAAATTTGGAAGACTTGCTGGAAGTGGGAAGAGGAATGCTGCATGTTCTGGGTGTTCTTCCTGGTCGAGGGAAATATATTGCCGCTTTCGGACTTGGGTAAGGTGTGTAACTAGGAGCAGCACTGCCTCTGACACCTTACCCCCCTGCAAATTGGCTTAAAAAATGTGCTTCATTTCGAATTGTCCAAATTCACTAACGTTAGCTTAAATTCAAATATCTGATTTGCAAATTAAGGTAAAGGCTTCGTTGAATCGTCATATAAACCCTCGGGCAGGAATAGATTGCTCTAGAGGTAATGTGCTCGTATTAATTCCGAAGTGGGGAAACTTTTAGGGATAGAACTTTTGCGGACGGTGTCTTTAATAAGAGACCTCGCTAGTGGATTTGTAAAATAGATTATAATAATAGGTTCCAATATCTCTTATCAGGTATTTATTATATAAAGACGTATAAAAATATCGACGTAACTAATATCGATATTACTCAAAACATCCTCAATATTAGGTACGATCTTAACATCGAACCTCTCCAAAGCTGGGCCGCTCGCGCCCCAAGCTTTCTTAAGGAAGCCGAGTCGGGATATTATAGTTATTTCCCCACATAATAGTTCTGGGTCTTCTCACCTTTTACGTCTAAATATTGTAGATCGCAAGAACGATATAATAAGGTGGCCGGGCTTTGTAACATTGCCAACCTTAAATACAGTATGGCCAGAAAACAGGAACTCGGATGTTGGAGGATGAAGAACAGCGAACAGACTCCTTGAGCAAAGCTCTGGACTACTTTCATGGTCTGAGCTATTCGTTCCAGGTTGCCACACGAATACTACCCAAATGCAGCCTCCAATATGCAGTCGTGGCTGAGGATGAACAGGAGCAAGGCACTGGGTCAATGCTAACACCCCACACATGTTGACCATCTCGAAAAGCCTATTAACTAAGGTACCTAGATACCTACCTACTCTTCAATAAAAGCGTGAATGTTATTATTCCCTCAATTAACGCATCTCCAATCCTTATCATGAACTTCGCTCATGGGTGAGCTAGCTATATAGGGCGAAAGATCGTATGTCTAAGTGTTGGCCATGCTGGGATTGTTTGACTTCAACACACACAAGAACCCCTTCCTTGCTCAAGTAAAAGGCGTAGTCTCCCTGATTCTGTTGCGGAATCGTCATCAACGTCATCACATTCACACAAGAATCAAAGGACAAATGAACAACAATACTCTCATTTCAGGGGAAATCTAGTGCTGATTCTGAAAGACAAACTTCCAAAATCTAAGGAGCATTTCCTTCGTATTTTTACATCCACTCCCCTCCACCTTCTCATAACCTCAGGCTTGGCCGCTAAGCGCCAACAGAAAATAAAACTCGAAAATAAAATGGGCGGCAAAATCACTTTCGGAAAACGTGTTTCCAACAATAATACCTAACGTATATTATAAGCGAGTCGTACATATAAGCGAGTCGTACAGTCTCCACCACGACGCGTCTTCCTTACACCTAACATCAATTTTTTCCACAACCCAACATGCCTCCTACTTCAAAGGAAGCCAGGATACTCTTAGCCCTTAAGGCTCTCCAAAAGGATAAAAAATTAAGCCTCCGAGCTGTAGCTAAGCTTTATAACGTACCACCTATAACTCTCTCTAACCGACGCGCCGGCCGGCCTGCACGACGCGATACTACGCCTAGATCGAAGAAGCTTACTTAATCCGAAGAGGAGGCTATTATTTACTATATTATTAAGCTATTTACGCGAGCTTTTTTATTAAAGTTACGTAGTATAAAAGATATAGCTAACTAACTATTACGCGTACGCGACGCGCCCTCTATTAATAAGCTTTAGGTATATAATTTCGTTAAACGTTAATTATAATTCCGTACGCGTTTTACGCGTAAATACGATTATTAAAGGGCTAAGTGTGAGGATTTAAAGGTTATTACCGAGTAATTTATATTTATACGGAATATTAAAATTAAATATAATATTATAAATAATAATATTTGTAATTTTAACGAAACTAGGTTTATAATAAATATTATTTTTATAAATATAATAATTATAATCTCGAACGGCATTAATAAAGTAAAACTAACCTAATTTAATAACCGCAAATAAATAATAGTAATTTAAAAAAATTAATACTTTCGATTAAACTATTTTACCTTTTATTATTTTAATTATATAATACTATTTTATTAATTAATATACCGAATATAATTTAATATTTATTTAATATATTATAATTATTAATAATAATTAAATTATTAATCCCGGTAAATTTAAATTAAATTAAATATTTCGATTATTATATAACGTTCCGTACGAAGGGTAAATACCGGTTATTAATCCTCGATAATTATAAAAATTATTATTTAATTAAATTTAAATATTATTATTAATAAAATAATATTATTATACTTTATATACCTTTATACTCTTCTTACTTCCTCTAACTACTTAATATTAATTACTTTAAACCGTTAAAATAGGTATATAGCCGCTAAATTAAGGGCTTAATATATATATATATTAATTACGTAAATAAACTTAAGTTTTTTTATACTTTCCGCAAAACTTTTTTCGCTTTTATAATAATAAAAAATATATAAAGTAACTTTATAAATATTAACTTTATATTATACGATCTAAAGAAGGTACTTTCTAAATTAAATATAAAGTTTTATACGTTAATACCTTTATTTTTAAAGCCGGGCACGGCACTCCCTTAAATATTTTAAATACTATAAAACCCCTAAAAAACTAATTTATATTTAACGTTTATTAAAATTTATATTATTAATTATTAAAATAATTTCCCGACTTTAATATTAAATATTATAAATTAATTTATTAAAAATACAATAATTATAATATACTAAGTAGCCCTCTTATAGGCAGAAGTCTCTTCGCTCCGTAAGGCTAATAAAATACTAAATAAACGCCGGAAAATTAAAAAAACACGTATACGGCTCGGAGGATCACTTACTATGCAAGATGTATAGGATCTACTAGACCAGAAGGCCGTGGGTGGGGAGGTAGTGGAAGAAATATAGCCGGATAGCGGTAGTGCAGGGGGGGCTCGTACGACGGTTCGGTGCTGTGGTGTGTGCGGCAAGCCTGGCCATAACGCGCGCACTTGCCAGGAGGCTGGGGAATCATCTGATTCAGCCGTTTCTAATATAATTGTAGTTACTTCCTAATATTGTTGCGGTATAATTGAGGATAGTTGTTGTAGGGTGGTGGAGACTGTACGACTCGCTTATATGTACGACTCGCTTATAATATACGTTATCGATAGCCGTTTACGGATAGTCGGTAGACTTTGAAAAGTTTAAAGATAGGTGATATATATGCCTTTAAACATATTAAGTAGGCTTTAATTATCAGTTATAGGCGTTTAGAAATCATTGAGGGTCATGAGACATGACGCGAGGTGAAATCAAGCAGACTCGAGTGACAATTCAAACAACGGTGTGAAATATTTTGATTCCATAAGGTTCCTCCCCGGGGTATACAAAAGCCTCCTCCCATCATTAAACATACATTATCCAGCCATGAAACCTCTCTAGTCCAACATGAAACCACTAAGCATATCCGAAACCTTCCCTATTTAAATGACATTGCCCTTCACCTGCTTGAAATCCTTCACCTTGATATCCCTCCAAACAGCCACCGAAACAATCGAAATGACCTGAATGACGGCCGACGCAATGATCATGTACCTCATAGCATCGCCATACGAATCTTGAATGGCAATTCTCGTCTCGCTGCCCCACGGGTAGTCGAGCTGGGTCTTGAGGTCGGAGAAGATGAGCGACACGTTGGCCTTCTCGGCCTCGGGCAGGAACTTGTTCAAGCTCCTAGGGAAGACAGTGCCCCAGATAGAGGTGGCGACGGTGCCGCCAATGGCGCCACCAACGTTGGCAAACATGGCCTCGATGGCCAGGACAACAGCGATGTACTGATGGGTGGTGGCAGCCATGGCAGCCATCTGCTCGCAAATTACCAACGTGCCGCCAGAAACTGCAATGAAGATCTGGCACATCGCGATGTATCCAATGTTGGAATCTGGCTGGCGAAACACAACCATGAGGGCCACGCCGAGAATGGTTACGGGAACGCCAAAGTACAAGGCCAACCACTTGAACCGGCCAGTCCAGCGGATCAGCACACCGACAACGAGTGACCAAAAGCAGGACCCAATGCTGTAGATGTTCTGGATGTAACTGGCCCTGGTGATGTCCAAGCCACTGACCACCTGAAGGAAGGAGCCGAAGAAGCTGTTCCAGATGTAGAAGGAGATGAACAGGTTGCCGGCAAGAATACAGGCACCGAGAACAGTCCGATCGGTGAGGAGTTCATAAGGGATGAAGGTCTTGGGCGCCCACCACTTCTCATACACTGCAAAGGCGACGCAGAGGACAAAGCCCACGACGAGCATGGCAATGCAGGTGGCCGAGGCCCATCCGTCGGCCTGGTAGAAGTAAATGTTGAAGGGCAAAAGAAACAGTGCCAACCCGGCAATGATGAGCAAGAGCCCAAAGACGTCGAACTCGATCGCGTAATACTTGAAGCTCTCGAGCCAAGTGCGCCCAGAGTTTCTCTCCGGCATGACACCAAGGGCCTTGGCCTTCTTGTAGTTCTTGTAGAAGAGGGCCAACAAGGGAACGCACATGACAGGAGTGATGATGGCAAAAGCGCCAAAAGCCCATCGCCAACCAGGGCCATAAAGGAAAGCGTCCGCAAGGGGCCCACCAACCCAGACGGTAATGATGTAGGGGGAAGAGGCAAAGGCGAACATCAGAGATCTGTTCTTGAGGGACGAGGTGTCGGCAACGAAGATGGAGATCGAGTAGGTGACGCCATTGTAGCCAACCCAGTAGAAGACTTGAGCGGCCGCATATGTTTCGACGTTTTGGCATGCAGCCATCAAGACGAGACCGATTGTCAGGCAAATCACCATGAGGATGAAACCCTGTGGACGACCCCAGATATCGAGAATCTTGGCAAGGGGCAACTTGGACAGGCCGGAGATCAGGTACGCAAAGATCGAGACGGTAGGGGTGAGCGAATGGGCAGAGAAGGCACTCGTGACGTAGGGCAGCAGACTGTTGGTCATGTTCTGCTGCATCGCATCGACGAAGTAGATGATCCAGATACTGAGCAAGCATAAATGTTAGCGCACAAGCTACACAGGCCTAGCGGGATAGTCTACCTACGTGACATATGCCAAAATAATGTCCTGTTTCGTCCACACCTTGGTCAGGGCCTCGATATCCTGCACACCACGCTGAGCATCGAGCGAGATGGCATCTGAGTCGTCAGCGACAGATTCCTTGACACCCTCGGTATTGACGACATTGGCCTCCTTGTCGCTGGCGGCCTTCTCGTCCACTTCTGGTTCCACGACAGGAACATTGCTGTGCGGCCGAAGCCGAGAAAGAGCATCCCTCATATTGTCGGCTTGGGGGAGGAACAGGAGGATCGGCGAAAAGGGATGAGAGGGCAGGAACCAAAAATGGCCCGGGAAGCAGCGCAACGCGACCTTTTAATCTAATCAGATGGAATGCATCAGGGTGGGAATACATCAGCTTTTCTCCGTCGGCTTGTATCACCCAATGCACATATCCGCTCGGTCGACCCAGTGGGACTCAATAAGTGACACAGAACATCCCAGAGCAACAGGCCAGAACCCACAAGTGCCACGGGGAATCCCGCGTGGAGGCAAGGACTGGATGCATCATCCTGTGGTGCTCCTGTGATATTCTGCAGACAGCCCTTGAGCAGTACCACCTTGGCGTGTTATCCACAGGGATTTTGGGCCCCACCGGTGCATGAGGGCAGGCCGGAGCAGCGCGGGTTGCGTCGTTGCCACGGCCGGCGGTAAGCAGCGGGAATGTGGAAAGGCGACCGGGCGAGAATGGAGGAGGGAGGGGACGTGGCCGAGGAAGGACCAGTCAGGTACCGTTCCGGTGAAAAGCTAGAGGAGTCTGCACTGCCAAGTTCGATGTTGTTTGGGAGCAAGCTCCGAGCAAGGTCCGGCCGTTGAGAAGATCATGTTCGAAAATGGAAGTTCTGGTCGGGGCTCATCCTTGGCAGAGGTGGGGCATTTTTTATCAGATCGTCGAGCATTTCATCTTATCTGATTGATAAAAAAAGTGGCGGATGGCTTTTGTGGGAACGAGCGTTCAACCACCAATCGCGGACCTTCCTCGTAGCCCTGGAGCAGCATTTCAGATTCTTGCCTCTCGACCGACGGCCTGCATGGGTGTTTTGCGACATCGGCGACAATTAACAGTGGGATAAAGCCATTTTCTCAAAGAACTGGTCTGTTGAGGCTGCCGTTCTGCAACCAGCTTCACGCTATTGACGCTATCGACTGCCTGTATCACCAGCCCATTGACATCGGCTCCAGTCTTGTTCTGTTCTCTTACACCACATCACTGTTGATGGCTTTTTGCATTTGGTAATTCCGTGGGAGAGACACCTGCTAGCCTTGCGAACAGCTTGCGCCAGTTTGCCTGGTCCAGAGCGCCCAACTTTTCAAGCTTCAAAAGGTCTCGGCCCCATTATTATTCTGTTATGTAATAACAGGCAGATGTTCGGTGGAGCTTATACCGAGGTGAAGCCTCTGGTATGCCGTCAACCATTCTTGCTTCAGCCACTGCCGAAGGAAATACCGTTCATTTTCCAGAGTATTGATGGACATGGGAAAACCGTCAGCACCATGATCCAAATTTTCACACGACGCCCCCCAACATGTTTGTGTCAGCTTGGAGCTTTGATATCCCACAACCAAGAACCCCAAGACACTAAACCCCACATGATTATGGCATAGCGCCGAAAGTGAGCTTGTCCAAGACCCTTCCCGCTGGTACCTCGCACCTTGCCGAGTCTAGCTGCGCATTCCTGGCGGCATTTGCAAACCTTTTGACAGCATCTCCATGTTGAGAGTTTCAACAACCACCAAGAGGTGATGCCCACCGCAACATCCAACCCTTTAGTCATGAACCAGGTCTCCGGGATTTTCTCTTCATCTCGTCCACTCTTGGAACCCACGAACATGCAGTGAGCCATTTTAATCCAAAAAGGTTCTCTTGCTGTCGATCGTTTCACCACTCGTCGGCTCCTTCCCCACATATATGGTTGCACGGAAGCGTGGGTACCCCACTCGTGATACGTTGCTGCCTTCCTTTGGCGCCTCTTGGTACTGCTTGAAGGATCTGATAACCTGGAATCTAAGCCGTTTCGGGGTTTACGAGCGGGACTCACCTTTTTTTTTCTTCAGTGCTTTGCTAACCCCAGTGCCCCCCAGGGATCACCAGCGAGCGAATCATCTTTGTCGATGTCTTTCTCTCGCTGTGGTCGGCGACATCTCGTAGACCGTCGGTGTAAGTAGTGGCAACATGGTGATCAGCAAACAAAACTCACCGTCCTTAGCGACGAGGCTCACACGGCACACAAAATGGCGCCTAAAACGTCCCTGCGAGTTCATCAAATGGTGATCGTGTAATACATCTCCTCGAAGTGAGCTTTCGCGAGCTCACGTACCCAAAGTTGTTAGTTAAACTGCGAACATGGTTTATGATGTGACAAGACGGCATCGACACCTCCAATATAACATCCAAGCTTTTCAGAAACCACTCTCGCTCACCGGGCAAAAGAAGATGCCAACCTGATAAATCTCGTAGGTGACAATGTGAAACTCAGAACACAACAGAAACCTGACCAACGAAACCCTACTTCAATCATGACGAAGAGATAACAATTCCCATTCTCGCACATCGACTATCGTAGCTAGATTCATTACTCTTAGTGTGACAGGTCGGATGCCTTTCTCGATGGAGGCTAGTAGTTCCACATCCCACGGAATGTGCCACAGCCAACAATACGTTGCAGTACGACACAAACACCAAAAGCATGGCACGAAACTACATCTTTACAAGAGCTGTAGACAAAAATAGCAATTTTCTGTCCTTTAGCACACATCAGCGATACTACTTTACCATCATGCTCAAGGTGAGGATGGCCTATGTTCCCTCTGGGTGAAACTGCCAGACGCGTGTAAGGCATAAAATCTGCCACTGACTGGTATTTCTGGCAGGTGTCCCAGTGACGACGGATACCATCAGGAGTAGACTTGACCGACGTTGAGATGTTTCACCATGAAGAGGTGTCAAGGATGCCCTTCGAGGGACCACAGCAAATTCCCACATGGTGAAACACCAGAAAACTAATATAAGCAATCTTCAAATTTGAGAACAGCCGAATACCTGCCGGCACTAACAAAGCCATATACCCATCCATTGTCTATCAACATTCCAGCCCAAAGAAACCCAAAAAGATATAGTCCCAAGACGCGTGACAACTCATCTTTTACTCCCTCCGATCATAATCCTCATACCCCCCCGCC